AAATTTAGAGACAGAAAACAATAAAAATATATGTAATATAGATAATATTGTTATGTGTGTGTTCTTACCGATATAAAGCCCAGCCAAGTACCGAGTCCAAAGCCTGGCATAACTCGTCCATCATTGAGTTTAAATGTTCGAATTGGTCCAGAAGGTAATGCCACCTGTCAAAAGTTTTCGTTGGTTTTGAATTCTATAGAACTGTATTTTTATCAAGCGTATGGAAAGGGAAATGTCCTTTTACTGTTCCTCCTCTAATTTTGTCCGTGATAGACATTGCTTCAGCAACCTTCTAACCTATTGTAAATGTCACAACATGACCGATAGAGTAGGGCGGGGTGAGCGACCGCCCAGGTTTGCGAATAACACAGTTCACATAACCCTGATAAACTCACCCTCCTTACCCAAAGGCATGACTAGACTAAAAAAGAAGGCGGCGTAGAAATCTTGTCCAGAGCGCTAGTGGAGCTAAAACCGCAATTGTGTCATTAAGTGATTTCTGATGGCTGCTGACTCGTTTATAAATTACATACTATAAAAATTAATCTTTCTAGTGCTTAGCGCATTAAGTGTTAATGTGATCGAAGGTCAATACAATAGTTTTTTTTAGCATTAGTCTGTAAATCTAAAAGAAACTTAAACCAAACACATTGACGTAGATAATTGTTGTACAGTCATCTACATAATTTATTTACATTAACAAAGCCTCGAAAGTTAAAAACGCCTTCGGTTATAAAAATGTGTATTCACATATCTTTCAATATGTTTCCGACCAAAGAATTATACAAGTTTCTAGTTTTTTAAATGTTTTAATAATTATGCAGCTGACTGTACATTATCTGTTGTAAATAACTCTCATCTTGATGTGGATAAATCTTGTTTGAAAATTTAATTAGGATCGTGGCTTTTAGATTTGCATGTTGTTTTATAATTTACTTTGAATCTTCTTGAAGCAATCAACTTTGAATTAATTTTAGATTGCAAAGTAAATTTTATTTATGTCTGTCGAATTATTGATTGTTGAATTTCCAATCTATATTATTTTATATATTATGATGAAGAGTTTACGAGAAAATGATTTTGGTAGCACATTGTGATGCTACCTGTACATATCTGCGTAGAAATTCGAAGATATGTGTGAAGTCAATCAAGCCGCATTGGAACAGTGTGGTTCACTATAGTCTAGACACCACTAACTTAGGGTAGGCTCCGAGCCCTTCAGTGGAAACACATAGTGAGCTGATGATGACACCGATAATTATGATGATTTCCTTAGCATTTCTACAAAGCCCCAAATATAACACGTTTGAGCTTATACTAGGAAAAGATTCATGGCAATATTCCAAAGGCAGTCTTGAAAGCAAAATAATTTATATATGAACATTATTACATAAAATATGCAAGAAGACTATTAGCAAATAAAAAGCTGTAATGACAAAAAAACATGGGCTTGATTCAAAACCAGTAGACCTTGTATCGTCGGTGCTCTTGATGGAAAATTTATCCAAAGGTTTCTATATTTATTTGCAATTATGGTGCAGAGAAACAGGTTCACCTCTTATGGAGAATACGAGCTTACGCATATCATAAACCGACCCATTCGAAAATACTTACATCTTATATAGAGATCCAGTAAGGGATGTATTCGAGTTTTGCTTATACCAAAATAATTGCTCATACAACTTATGTATACGTGATTTTCAACTTCTCAAACATTAACTAACACTCTCATTTAAAAATAACAGATAACACTCTCTTTTTGCTCAGATAGTACGGCAATGGAACCCTACGATTTGTTTAGTTTTCTAAACGTGTATTTCACTGGAAACAAATTCTCGATAAAGACATGAGTTCAGATAAAAGTATCTGGAGACCTAAGTCCCAAGTCTGGTTTTATTCGTAGATGAATTTGTTAACTACTTCTATCTAATTCTTATTCATGACTATAATATAGTTTGTTTATATGAGATTATTTATATCAACAGTCGTATCATCCTTAAATTAGGAATATTTTAACTATAGATAAAAACTCAGGTATTAAATAAATTAAATTAGTAAATAATATTTTTCCGAGTTACATAAAAACCTGACAAAAACTTACAGCGACCAATTTGCCTTATCATTTTAATTTTTAAAATACATCTTGGCAACAAGTACCCAATACAACAGCTTCATAACTATTATATGTTTGAAGAATGGAAGAAGCTTTTAACATAGCCTTGTTTGATGAGGATTTTTGCATTGCCTTGTTTGATGAGGTGAACCGGTGAAGTAATGAGTTACAAGGAAGGTTACTTTATCGTTAGAAGCTCGTTGAGTAATTAGCAAATATTAGCTATTGCCCGCGACTTCGACTGTACGGAATGAATTCTATTTACATTTGTGGCAAATTTCAACAAGATCCGTTAAGCAGTTTTAGAGAAACGTAATAATAGACATTAATCATTTGTTTGATATAAAGATAAAACAAAATGGTTATAGGATACTTACACTGCTTTTGAATATACGACTATACTATACTATGAATGTTTAGATGGATTGATCGAAGGTATCACCAGAATGCTGTATAGATCTGAATGGTTGGTATAAACGTAAACAAATGACTGGAAAAAGGCCACTAAACAGGTTTTATTTTTAAAAACGGACGGACGAAGTCGCAGGTAAAAGCTAATGTTAAAACAAGCGTCAAATTAAAATAAAGTTGTTTAATATTCCTTTGAATAATGATTTAAAAACTTACAGTTGCCGAAATTGTCAGGATAAATATGAATAACTTGTACACAAACATTTTATTTATCGTTGTTGATTCACAGAGTACCGCTCAGTTCCGCAGATGGCGGGAAACTGGACACTGCTTCTATCAAGATTAATTGAATTTAAATTGAATTCTTATTCCATACACAGTTTTATAATGGCGATTGTTGATAACCTACCAGTCGTCCAAGTCGCTTACCATTAAATTTATTTTTCAATTAAAGATCGAAGAAGAATATTTTAATAGTAACTCAAAATTAAAAATAAAACATATTTAAATCGTTCATTACTTTTTTACTCATAATGAGCACTTATCTCAAAGGCAGGCAACACATCTGCGGTTCCTCTGGTATTGCTGATGTCCATGGGTGTCGTTGAACACCTCGGTGTTCCCGCTGCTCGCTTGACCCCTTCTGCTACAAAAAAAAAATAATCAGAGAATGCTTTCGTGATATTTTAAAAAACTTCTCCATCACTTTAGTTTCAATTTCGTGTTTTTATTTCTAAGGGAGAATATGTGTATTAAACAAATAAGCACTTTTTTCTTATTTTTTAATTATTGATTTTTGTGTGATTCTTGGCAGGAATGTAAAAAAATCTGTAGTCTGTTCCTAATTTAAAAATATAAACAACACTGATGTGCATAAATTAAAGAAAAAAGTATTTCGTCGCTCACCCTTTATCCATATTAAAAAGAAATGTCTTGAAACATAGAATAAAGAATAATAATAGTCCTATATATAAATATTCATATTTATATATAGGACTATCCTGTGTTACAAAAACAACTGAAAGGCGCAATCACCATTATTGTATAATAGTACTAGTTACTAGCTGTCGCCCTCGACTCCCTCGGCGCTGAATTAAAAATAAACTTTAAAAGTAGCCTATGTATTCTTCCGGACTATTTTCTACATCTATGCCAAATTTCAGCGAGATCCATGCGGTCGTTCTGGAGATACCTTCTAACAAACATCTATCCATCTAAACATTCACATTTTTAATATCAGTCAGGAGTAAGATTGTAAAATATTCAAGATAAAGAGTTCAACGACATTTTAGTTGATAATACCTTTTTTTTTCTATGTTACTGAATAAAATAATATATTATTTTTTTACATAACTACTATCATTGTAAAAAACTAAAGGTGTAAAAGGATATACCTATTATAAAAAGTATTCATCAACCTGCCCTTATCCCTATCGAGGGTCGGCACAGCATGTACTACTCCTCCATACATCTCTATCAGCCGTCATATCCGAGTCTACCCCCTTCTTACGCATATCCTCTTTCACACAGTCATTCCATACTTTTTTTGGTCTTCCTCTACCCTTGTAGCCATCCACATTCAATCTCATTACTTTTTTGCTTATATCATCATCATCCCTCCTCATAACATGTCCAAACCACGTTAATCTTTTACTCCTCAATTTCTCGATCACTGGCGCTACTTTCAAACTTTCTCTAATATACACATTTTTAACTTTATCCTTCCTTGTCACACCACACATCCATCTTAGCATACGCATTTCAGCTACATGCAATCTTCTTTCATCCGAAACCTTGGTGGCCCAACATTCAGATCCGTACAATACGACAGGTCTTACGATGGACTTGTAGATCTGTCTAAAAAGTATTATAGGAACAAATGTTAGTATAATAATTTTACCAAGATTTATTAGGATAACAATTTCCCTATCAAAAATAAGCATTTTTTTATTCCATAAGAGATTTTTTTCTTCTAATTATGTTTGCACATGATTATGGATAAATGAAATAAATTGGGTTTCAATTGAGAAAACTTTTTTTTATCACTACTTAAATGCCAAAATAAGGTTACTTTCCCTAAGAGTGCGATTTGCCTAAAATGATAGGTATATTTATTCACTATTAATTACAATAAATTAGGTTTAATTGCTTGACATTTTCAATATAAACCCTCGTTTTAATGGTCTGAAAGAACAAGTCAAACAAAGTGACTTGTTCAAGAAAGTATTCGCAAATATGTTTTTAAATATCTTTTTATCGCCATTCTACTTAGCTATTGTTGCAGTAAGTGAATTATATTACTTTTTTTTCGTATATATTTTGTTCAATTTTGTTATTTTTGGTAATTAAAGTATTAAATATTTGTTAAGCTTCTTGCATCTGTGTCTCTACTGCATTAAAGATGGTTTTAGAGCGATCCCTGAAGTGAAATAAAAACCTATTACTTACCAAATGTAATTTAAATTTTAGTGTGCCTACGCGTCGAAAAATCAGCCGCCAACGTACCAGCTCAATGATGGAAGAAGTATGCCAAGTTTCGGCTTAGGGACTTGGTTTGGATTTATAAATTTAGTTTGTATTTTATTCAATTTAAATTTTGATCAATTTAAAAGACAAAAACTTGGTGCGCTGACCCAACATAAGTGGGATAAGGACAGGGAGATGTTAACGCGATAACCAACCTTTCAAGATTACTTTGATGTTAACTATCATAATTATTTACTTAGCCACCATCTTTGTGACCCAAATTTGACCTACATATGTATTACGTTATCAAGCGTTTATGTACTTTGTTTATATTGACTCAATATTTGGAATTTAGACCACATTAAAGCCAGTGGATGAGGAAGCGTCGGTGCGGGCAGTGGGCTGGGCCATCGACGCGGGCTATAGACTCTTTGATACGGCCTACATTTATGGCACTGAGAAAACGGTAAGCGAAAATGTTAAACAGGACGACCTTGCACAGTCAGGCGGATTGTCATATGTCTCTGAGATCTTTATTAAATTTATCATATGTTCAATGACATAAGAATGAAATGTAATTCAAGATGCTCGTATAACCTTTAAATGAAATGTTTTACACAAGTTTTGTATCTAGAGTCGATTTTCTGAATATCATTTTGGAGGAAATTTATTCCAATAAAGGCCAAATCGAAGAACTCCGGAAGCACTTTCGTGCTTCGAATTATCTATCCATAAGTTATGACATCTAGGTATTTTTAGAAATTATTAGTTAGAATCCTTTGTCGGGAATGGCGAGCTTTCGTTACAAAGTTGATTAGTGAGGGAACATAAAAGTCGAATTTTCTTCCTAACAGTATAAAATATTCTTTATAGGTGGGTCGTGGATTAAAACAAAAGATCAGAGAAGGTGTAATTAAGAGAGAAGATGTGTTTATTAGCACAAAGGTACGGTTTTAGACTATTTAAATAATTATATACGTGCGACCCAAACCGTATTAGCTTTATCTTTATCCTGGCTATATATATATCAACACCGAGGCTTGACCATCGATGGTTCCCTTTACCCAGTTAATCAGTTACTACAGCCACGAGATGGTTCAAAAAGCACTGCCTATTTTATTGATTTCTAGGTAAGATTGTTAATTGAATTTTAAATTCTATAGCTTTGGAGCTACTCCCATGCCCGCTCGGCCGTTGTGCCAGCTCTCCGCAAGTCTCTGGAGGCTCTCGATTTGGAATATGTGGATCTATTTCTCATACAAACTCCTATTGGTCAATTTGTGAGTTATATAACATTTTTATGATCTTCGAATACTGACCCTATCGATGTGTACAATTTTTCACCACAAAGAAAAAACGTTGACAGAACGTGAGGTCACTCGTTACACTAACACGAAAGGTAGATGTAATAATAATTTCAGACAAACGGCACCTATGACTTGACCGACTACACGGAGACGTGGCAAGGCATGGTGGAGGCCAGGCGGCAGGGCCTCACACGCTCCATCGGCGTCTCAAACTTCAACGCGCACATGATGGATAGGATTATTAAAAGTTCATGCGTTAAACCGGCAGTGGCGCAGATTGAGGTAAATTTTTATTTATTTGGATTCTTTAAAGCTGGTTTCGTGGTGGCAAATTTAAGAAATAAATTAAATAGAATTCGGTCGTGTATCAAACAATGCTGGCAATGTCAATCTAGTCTATTTTCAGGTGAACCTCAATATCCAGCAGCCGTCGTTGCTGCGTTACTGTTGCGGGCACGATATAACAGTAATGGGCTACACACCTTTCGGGTCAGTGTTCCCGGATAACGCGCTGCCCGGGGCGCCGGGGCCGCGCGTAGACGATCCTCTGCTGCGACAAATCGCCGCAACACACAATAAGACAGTGCCGCAGATCATATTGAGATATTTGGTAATTCTTACTTACCTTACTTAGATATTAGAAACAACAGCCTCACAGAGAAATAAATTAAGTAGATACATAAGTCTTATTGATGAGCAGCGATGATATTACGACTTTTAATTACTAAAACTTACCTTTTTCAGTTCGATCTGGGCGTCATTCCCATACCAAAGTCAATTACGAAGTCTAGAATAGAAGAAAATATTGACATATTCGATTTCGATCTGTCATCAGAGGAGACGAAAGCACTAGAAGTCTACGATGTAAACTACAGAAGCGGCAACAGTTGGTCGGACTCACCTTATTACCCAACCAGAGAATTAATTACATTGTAATATAACTTGATTGGAATGCGGCTAGCTAACTATTGGTAGTAATAAAATATAAATGAAACAATGTCTTGATAATTATAGTAACATTTACACGAGTATGAAATAAATAAATAAATTAAACTGATATTGTAAATGTGAATGTTTTGATGGATGGATGGATGTTTTTTTGAAGGTTTCTCCAGAACGGATCAACGGCTCTCGATGAAATTTGGCATGGATGTTGAAAAAAGTCACTAAGATCACATAGGCGACTAACTGTTTTTTTTAATGCCACGAGGACGGAGTCGCGGGCGACAGCTCGTCTCTGTAAATATTGAGTTCAACGACTTTAATACATAGGCGATGAAGATGTTTTGTTTATTATACATGAAATAGGGTAAAATACCCAGCTATTGAGTACCTACTTCTATTATTATTATAAAATAACTAAAAGTGTTAAGAAATCTGAATAAAAATGTTTTACGGGAAAAAAATGTTGGCTCTATTATAATATAATGTTTCCAATATATAGCAATGGTTCTTTTTTTATTAAAACTTCGCTGGTTATTACGTATTGATGATTTATTTTATTTATTTATTATTGTGGAGGATAACTAAGATTACAGTACACATTATCGATAACTTATAACATTTACTCATTATGGATATAACTAATTTGTTTCAAGGTTGTAATAAGGTTACTCCCCCCACATAATTTATTTAATCCAAAAACGATTTAACGGTAATTATTCGTTTATTATCGTAATACATTCGAGTTAGTTGAAACAGTTTTAATATAAAGGCTTTAATGGATTGTATAAAAAGAAAGAGTCAAAATAATTAACTCATTCAGGAAAGTCTTCGCAATTATGTTTTTTAATATTCTTTTAACGTCATTCTACTTAGCTAGTGTTGCAGTAAGTGTTTATGTTACCCTTTTTTCGTCTATATTTTGTTCAATTTAGATATTTTTGGTAATAAAAGTAGTAAGTGTTTGTTTAGCTTTTTGCATCTGTGTCTCCACTGCATAAAATATAATTTTAGCGCGATTCTAAATGTTTTTAACGTAATGTTATTTAAATTTTAGTTTGTCTACGCGTCGAAGAATCAACCGCCAACGTATCAGCTAAATGATGGACGGCGTATGCCAAGTTTAGGCTTAGGGACTTGGTTTGGAATTTCTAATTTAGTTTGTATTTTATTCTTATTCATTTTAAATTTAATAATTTTTCATGATAATTAACGATGTTACTTCTAATCCATATTATACTTTACTTTGTTTGTTTTACCTAAATAGGTCGCAATGGTTGTATGTTACTGTTTTTGAAATTTGGCACTGTTGACTGTTTTTAATTTTCAATATTTTGAATTTAGACAATAATTAACCCAGTCGACGAGGAAGCTTCGGAACGTGCAGTGGGCTGGGCCATCGACGCAGGCTATAGACTTTTTGATACAGCTTACATCTATGGCACCGAGAAAACGGTAAGAGACTAAGTTTTTATATTTGGCTAATTCATGGTACCACGACCTTACAAAATGCAGACGTAAGTGCAACGGCTTGGGCTTCATCTGATGAGGGTGGTACATGAGAACCATCTTAACTATTCTTTCTCTCTCCATCCTTAATTTATTGGTGGGAAATTAAAAACAATTCGAAAACACGATAATCCACAAATTGTTTATTCTTTTTTTACTTTTCAACCTAGGTCGGTCGGGGAGTGAAACGAAAGATCAGTGAAGGTGTAATTAAGAGAGAAGATGTGTTTATTAGCACAAAGGTATGTTGAACTATCCGAATATATTATGTACAAACCTAACATTGGGCCTTTCTTTCAATCTTTTCACCCCATATAATGTGGCTCGACAATCCTTAGAATCTTTACTCCTCCAATGAGTAACGATATTCACAGACGAGTCAAAAAGAACATACTTTTTTTATTAATTTGTAGGTTTATTATTAATATAAATATTAAATTTTATAAATCGAAAAGCTTTGGAGCGACTCCCACGCCCGCGAGGCCGTAGTACCGGCTCTACGAAAATCTCTGGAAGCACTCGGTTTGGACTATGTGGATTTGTTTCTTATACACTTCCCTATCGGACAATTTGTGAGTTCTTTAACATTTTTATGACTTTCGAAAGCGGGACCCGATCGATGTAGATCAACTTTTGTATATTTAAATTATTATTTTCCCAAAAAGAATGTTTCAACATTAAAATAAACAGAATGTGAGGTAGCTCGCTACACTACACCGAAAATTGGAAGTAATAATTTCAGGCAAACGGCACTTTTGACCTGACCGACTACACGGAGACATGGGAAGGCATGGTGGAGGCTAGGCGACGCGGTCTCACACGCTCCATCGGCGTCTCAAACTTCAACGCGCACATGATGGATAGGCTCATCAAAAGCTCATGCATTAAGCCGGCAGTGGCGCAGATTGAGGTAAATTATTTTTGAATTTCGATTCTTCAAAGTTGGTTTCACCACTCATCATCTCTTTATCATCATCTATATCCTTATCATTTGCGTGGTGGGAAATGGAGTATAAATTAAATTAAGGTTATTTAGTTGGTGTTTAAATTACTCATATGCTGGCAATTTCAATCTAGTCTTTTTTCAGGTAAACCTCAATATCCAGCAGCCGTTGTTGCTGCGTTACTGTTGCGAGAAAGATATAACAGTAATGGGCTACACACCTTTCGGGTCAGTGTTCCCGGATCGCGCGCTGCCTGGTGCGCCGGGGCCGCGCGTCGACGATCCACTGCTGCGACAAATCGCCGCAACACACAACAAGACAGTGCCGCAGATCATACTGAGATATTTGGTACTGTAGAAAACTTATTAATTTCTGTACTTTTGTCCGACTCTACTGGATAATACCCACAAAAAAACAGGGGCAGGTTGAGAAATGAATTACTGATGAGCAAAGGTAATATCGATGACTAAAAACTTTATATTTTCAGATCGATTTGGGCGTCATTCCTATACCAAAGTCGATTACGAAGTCTAGAATAGAAGAAAACATTGACATATTCGATTTCGGTCTGTCACCAAAGGAGAGGATCGCACTGGGAGGCTTCGATGTGAACTACAGAAGCGGCAAGAGTTGGTCCGACTCACCTTATTACTTAACCAGAGAATTCACAACGGTGTAATAGAATTTGTCTGGCGAAGGGAATTATTATGGAAAATAAAAAAGTGTTTATAATTAGTTATATTTTATTACATATAAGTCATACTCGTGTAGATACCACAAAATGCCCCAACTAAGATATATTAATTACGAGCTACCAGTTGTTCTAGAATAGAATCGAATAAAACTTCATTATAAAATTAACAAGTTAATAATTACGATATAGAAAACTAAACGAAACTGATTATTTGGCGTTTGTTGACGATAAAATGAGAATGTATTAGAATATATTACTACCCAAATAATTACAATATTGATTATTACATATAATATTATGTATCTTATTCACACTAAGCAACTACTTTAGGGTGTCCTATAAATATTCAATATCAGTGATACTAAAGAACTACCTCTTCAACACTGCAGTAGTTTTAATTTTGGTTACTTCGAGTTATTATAAAACGATTACATAGACGAATTAAGACACAATAGTTAGCCTTATTTTACTTAAATTAAAAATAATTAGTTGCTTAACAAACCAACCTGTAGAATTCGAAATGTTCACTATGGCAACACTTCTAATGTGTTACTTCGTGTTATTTTATTTCGGAGGCTACAGGCTGGCAACAAGTTTTTAGAATAGATATTTTTCTAATTATAAAACACTGCATTAATTTAAATTGTACACATCTAACCTATTTGAATTGGTGTTTCAATACCTTCAGTGGACGAATCGCTTTCGCGGGCATCTTCCTATAACCTATAATTAATCATTAGTTTCATACAATAAGTATTTTTATAAAAAAACAAAAATTCAATTTGGTTAAGGCACAAAAACATTTATAAATATAATTTTTGTCCTTAAATAATTATTAATTCAATTTGTTATAATATTAATAACATGCTTCAATGTTAATATAGTAAATGTTAATGTATAAAAACCATATCTAACTCGAGACGATAAGAACAAAAACACTACTAAATACGTCATACCAAAAAATGAAAAAAAAATATAGTTGCCAGTTATGTGCAAAACTACCATTTCTACAATAAAAATCAAACATTGAGAGATTGCAAATAGAAAAACACATGCAAAAGTAAAAAACGTAGATCTAATAATTTAGGCACCATTTAATTTAGCGAAGAATTAAATATTAACTAATAAGACAGTGTTATTTTATTATAAAAAAAATTGCACCGAACAATTACTATTACTAAAATAGACTTTATAACAAAAATATATTTTACATAACTTATACGTACTTGTCTATGGCACATATTTCATCATGTCTTGAGGTCGAGTTTATTGTAATATTGATTTCATTTATATGTAAAAAAAACATTCATTTGTACATTTTTAATAAATGATTTTTTAAAGGCACAATGATTATTTTAATATAACCAAATATAAAATAGGTTTGAATCACTATGTACTATGTGTCCTGTTTTCCTAAGAAAACAGTATTGTATCGGATTCAAACCTTTAGTTGGCATTTGAATTTTCCTTCTAATTTCAAAGTTGTAAAAACTTTTTAGCTGCTATTTAATTTGTATAAAACTGCCAAAATACTATATTAGACTTCAATAACTATAAAAGGCATCAATAATAAGGTCCCACAATGGGGTTAGCACTTTGTGAATTATAAAGCCGGGAACATACTTTTTTTAAATTTCCTTGATACAATGGACATTTATTACCAACACCAGTTCAATAACATACCGTGGACACAATTTCTTTTTTTAATTGTATAAAAACGATGACAACGATTACAATAAAAGGAAAAATTTATATAAAATGGTATAGTCGTATGTTCCCAGATTTAAACATCATAAAAAGATCAACTACAATATATCTTTAAAAATATAAAATAAAAAAAAAATAGGTTAATCGTACCATATGGTATATACGTACCATAAGATACAGGCACTACTGCATTGCGACGTTCTATAAATAAAATATTATAGCACCTCTGATTATTTCTTACAACTAAGTCCTTGTGATTTGATGTTAAAATAAATGTATAAAAAATTCATTTTTGGATCCAATATCCAATTATAAAAGAATGTGAAAATGTAACATAAATATTTTAGTTTAAAAAGACTTACTTTTCAACTATATTTTTTGACTATATTTCTATAGTATTTGTAGCTCTTTATAACACCATAATCACAAGGAAATTAATATATTATTAAATATACAGTTTATATCTTTATAACAACTATTGAATTTTATATAAAATGCATTTCTTTACATAAATAAATACACTTAAAGCGTTAGAGAACTGTTAACGACACACACGACAAAATAGATGCCAAGTTTAGAAGTTGCCAAATTTCTTTGTAACTGTAGAGCTGGTTTCGGATTTATGCGAACTTGTCATAACTGACTTGCGCTCTATTGTTTCCGATGTGATAGTTTGCTTGGAGAACTTCTTGTCCAAGCTATCGATTTCCTTCACCAGCTCGGAAGGTTTCTTCACCTTCGATACGCTAGTGGTCGTCTGATAGTCCGAGGACTGAAACTCCGAGGGTCGCATGAACGACCGGCTCGTGTCAGAACTCAGCTTCGAGTCCAACGTGTTGAAACGTGAATCCAACGTGCTGTATCTAGAATCGTTGTCGAACGACTTCGACAGCTCGTCGATACCTTCCAGTTTGATCGGTTCGTATTTTGTGCTGGTACTAGTCATATTGACTGGGGACGAACTATAGATTTTGGTTGTGGTAATCTTCTGGGTGCCGTTCGGTATCTCCTTAACCTCAGTGGTGGTCTCCTCATGGTAGTTGGGGCCACCGTAGCTGTGCACCTCCTTGCCATACGGCGAAGATATTCTTTCGAACGTTGGCGTCGGAGCTTTCACTAAGTCCATGGAATTCTTGGAGAATTCAGAGAACTGGTTGCTCTCGTACTTGGTGGGCGTGGAGGTGGTGAAGGGAGATTTAACTTCCTGCCTGGTTTCGGACGAGATGAACTCCGTCTTCGGATAGCTTTGATATGATTCGCTTTTAACTGAGTACTCGGAATGCTTGACGCCGCCCGGGATGTTTTCAGTGGATTTCTGGTGTTCAGAGAAGGTCTGTCCGACGCCGTCAAATGGCGATTTAGGAGTGGTCGGCTTCTTGAGGGATGAGTAGATAGGTTCTTCGAACTTTAAGTCCCTGGCGTTGAACTTGGGACTGAGAGGGGATGGTAGTTTTTGCGAATCATACCCGAACCGTTGCTCCTGCTTAGTGAACTGATACTGGCTGGACTGATTGGACTCGTATTGGCGTTGCTCCTCAGTTTTAACGTACTCGTTAACGGGTCGTGGTGTGTCGTAGAGTCGGGTCTCGTAACTGTAATATTCGCAATTCGATTACTTATTAGTCCGTCATGCGGGCAATCGATTATAATTCAATGAATTTCCCGCAACCGAAAATAGAGGAAGGCATTAACCGGCACCGGCATGCGTCATGCGTTAGAAGAATAGTTAATCACAATATCAAAGAATTATTATTTGGAAATAGGATATATGACATTAAACAGCATATCGGCCAATCGACGAGAACATGAGAGAGGATTTTAGCACAAGTCGTCTCTGAAATGCGAAATAACAGACATGGCGGGTGAGGTCTGGATGGTGTTCGAATAGTTAACTTTTCCGGTGAAGGTGGGTGGTGTCTGCGGACTGTCCGGTGCGCAAGGGATGGAAGAGCCAGAACGAACCCAATTAACTAGCGTTGTCCTCGTACTTTAGGAGGGAAATGCGCCTCGGCGGCGGGGGCGGCGGCCGCTCCCTCTTGTAGAAGACGCGCTCGGCGTTGGAGCCGTCGGGGCCGTCGTCAGAGACCAGATAGGCGGTGCGCACTTCCGGCAGTTGCAACGACTTCACGACCACCGTCTCCTCCGTCACGCTCGTCCTATTCGGTTAGGTTAATCACCCGCATGCAGGTTAAGGAAGGGAGAAAGAGAAAAACAATCATTAGTTGTTAGTCGCTACTTCTTAGTCTAAGCCAGTGGTTTCCAACCTTCTGTCAGTCTTCAAATTATAATAATGTTAGGAATAAATTATGATTATTTTAAAATTTCGAATTATCATTAAACAATAATATATTATGTATATGAAGCTACGCAGTATTTTAATTCAATTAAATTGCTTGTTTATAGCTCAATGTCAAGTGTAATTTTAATTCCAAATACAGACGTCATCGTATTACGGCAAATCACTCTTTGTACCAAACTTTACAAAACTAAAATATTTACATAACTTGTAAATAAACAGTTTTTAGTTAGTACATAAATCTTTTAAATAAGACAGTTTGGGAAGCACTGGCCGTAGCAGACATAACACGTAAAAGCTGTAATGTATATGTACAGAACGATGTACGGAGGTCGCGGCGGGCGCAAGCTGCGAGCGCACATGGAACAAATATTGTAAGCCGAAGCTTATTACAGCGACTTACTCGTGTTTCATCGTTCTATCATTGCTCGTATTTTCTCTGCGAAACGAAATATTAATTCAGTATCTATTTAGTTATTACTAATGTTATATAGACTTCAATATAAATAGTATAGTTATTAGATTATTTATACTATTTACTATAGTTTATTTTTTATAAATCGATCTCTGACATTCCATAACTAAAGTACTTCCTTATTAAACAATCTAATTATTCTACACTTTTTTTCTGTTAATGTTAATACATTAAAATAATAAAAGCGAAACGTATCAGTAATAAAGAGTCTTGAATCTTGTTGGAAATCCACATTAATACTACAAATTAAAAATTACATGTCAATAGAACTAACTTAAAATTATTTTATGATCTGCAGAAAGCGTATAAGCCTTACATGCGTTACATTAGCTTCTGGCAGATTTATTAGAGCGTTTCAGCATTTTCAGTTTATGAAAAAACAAATGGATATTACTAGCTGTCGCCCGCGACTCCGTCCGAGCATGTTTAAAAAATAGATGCCGATTATACCTATTGAATATACATATAAAACTTTATAAAAGGTCAATCCGTTTCGGAAGAATACGGTAATTAACATTATGACATTTTTTTCCATCACACGATTGTAAGCATCGGTCATCATTTTGACATTTGTGTTATCATAAACTGACATCAAATAATTATTCAATTACAAAATATAACACAATTTATCATCATATTAAAATGACAATTTCGAATGATTACATGAATGAAGCATATGATAAATGGTTTTTTAGCTGTCTTGTTTATGTGGAAATTATGATATTTTTTGGAAATTTGATAGCAGATTTCAAGTACCAGAAATTTTATACAAAAACATATCTCTATCCCTCTCATTCTCTCCAAAAAAAGTGAGATAACAATATGATATTTATATATATAAATATTTCTGTCATTGCTTCTATGGGTGTCAATTTTTTTGTTATTCACGAATTCTAAACAAAAACATAATTTCCACTTTCTAACAATTTGTAAAAAAACTAATTCACAATACCTTTGACAATAAATTTGGAAGAAATTACAATGTTATATGAAAATACAATTTTTTTTTTAATTTAGGCACGAATCATAAGATGAGAATGAAGGCACTTTATACATTAAGGCTTGCGAATGTAACTCCGATCATCTGTCCGTGTCCAATGGCAGCGTGGAAACAAGCAAATATTCATTAAAATGTAATCAATTTTGAACTAACATATATTTGGTTTATTTAATGTACAAGTGATGATAATAAACTCAATCAATGAGATATGGTTATGATTTTATGTATTGGGTGATAGAAAGTTAATATGAAAAAATATAAGGAAAAAGATGTATCTCTTACATTAAATATACAAAATGATCAAAAAAGTGTATGATATGTCATGTCTTTAAATATAAATTTCGATCAGTCAATGCACTGATTGGACTTACCGTGTTGTAAATCCTTCGTAGTTCTTGGGCGTGTCGTCCTGTGGAGGTCTGAAGCTGGAGAAGGTTGGGCTCTGCGTTGTGTACTTGTCCTCCCTCTGGTAGCCATTAGTGTCAGGCTTGGAGGCGGGGTTGGGGGCGGGACTGTGGGCGTGGTTCTGCGCGTTGTGGGCGGGGCTTGTGGCGCCGTGCACCGATTGGTTGAGACTGGTCACGTGGTGCGAGATGTTGGTGGTGTTCTGACTTATATTGGTCGTGTTCTGCGCGGAGTATGTACTGTTCGGGCTGTACGTTGTGTTCGCGAAACTGCTGTTTGGTGTTTTGAATCTGTAATAGTAATATATATTTGTAAATATGATTTTATTTAAATATGTATTATAATTAAATGTAAATAATATATTTCAGAATATCGTTGTTACATCAGGTAATGGTTATCAAACCATCAGTGCGGTCGTCATTGCTATCATCATCTGTACTAAAGAAAGATTTGATTGTTTTATGCATTAATAGGCTCCGAAACTACTTTTTTCACCGTTGAAAAGCTACACTACCCCTGGGTGATATACTGTATTTATTACTAGACTTATTATTCCGCGCGGACGGAGTCGCGAGCGCCAGCTAGTAATTCATAATTCCATTTTGGAGCAGTATTCATTGGTTGATTTAGTTACCTGTGGTGTGTGGAGGCGTCACTGGCGTATCCCATCTGCAGGTCTGTGTCGGTGTCGTCTCCGGAGGTGTCTCCGGCGCGCAGCTTGTACTTGGCCTGGCGGATGGCCGTCAGTCGGCCGCGCGCCTCCTCCAACTCCTTCTCAATACGGAGCACTTCCGATCTATAAAAATCATGTTGAAAATGTAGCTTTAAATTTTAATACTGATTTCATACATGTCTTGTTTTGATATTTTTCAAATTCATAACGCAATTGCAACTACTTGCACGAGTCAAGAAATGGCTAACATTTCTTGACTCGTGCAAGTAGTTGCAAATAAATAGTGAAATAATTTGTGTTAAATATAAAGTCAAGTTAACTGCTATTCGCTGTTTTGTAAGTGATAACACGGTGTATTGTAAAGATGAAAATCTCTTACTCTTTTACTTATCTTCTTTCGTTTAACTTATCATCATCTCGTCGTCTTTAATTTTTGACAAAACAGAGATATCAATATGTTTCAAACAGGAATTTCGGTTTCAGAAACCCACAGTTAGCCGCTAGTAATCGATGCTGTAAACAGTTGTTGTCTCACCTGGCGTCGATCTCCTGCGCGATGCCGCCGACCATGCGTCGGTTGAGCACGAGACTGCGCTCGTCGTCACAGTGTATGGCCTCACGCGCGGCGCGCACCAAGTTGTCGGTGGAACGGATCACCTCCGCACCGGCAGCCTGCAGACGACGCGTCGACTCTGACGACGGGTCAGCCTTCACCTGCAATTATATACAAACATTTGAAGTACACACATGCACAAATAAGTATCTATCTAAGACCGAGAATACGAGAAGGTACTACGTCTTGTAACACAGATTCACCCTACTTCACCTACTTCAGAGGGCACGGTCCGGTTATGTACATTTTTGTAGGTCAATAAAGATTTTTTTTTACTTTCAATGGTTAGAAATTGTGACATTGTTCTTAAATTTCTTGCGTATATGGTAGGTCTTTTAAACCCTTTTTAATAGTCATATCACTGGCATAAAGAACATCAATTCACCTGATACCATAAAACAAAAAAATAATACCTTGCAGGCGACAAGCAGCTGCGCGGTGGAGGAGGCGACCTGCCTCGCGCTGGAGATGAGCCGCTCCTCGGAGGCGGCGCCCTGCACGAGCGCGTTAGCTGCCTCGACCAGCGCGTGCGCCGCCGCCGCCACCAGCCGCGCCGCTGACACAAGACCCTCGGACCACTGCCCGTCGTCTGACGATGACTCTGGCCGCCGCGCCACCTTGCCCTAAACACCAATATTTCTTTGTACTATTACCCTATTACTATTATTTTGTATAATTCATTTTGTATACGGACATTAGCTGTGGTATTTCAGTTATCATTATTTAAAAATATATAAAGTGCACAAAAAGCTATTGTGTATGTAACCTGGTCAATAAGTTCTCGCTGGGCGGCAGAGGCGGCGCGCACTAGAGCGGAGGTCGCGGTGATGATGGACTTGGCCGCTTCTAAGATCATCTCGTCGAAATTCAACGTTTCATCAGCCTCCTGCAAAATATTCATTCATTAAACACTGTTATTACTTTTAAATGTATTTCAAAAGTATACACGATAAATTCTGATAAATAAAAACTCTTCAAACTTCTTTCTTCGTCGATGCTTTGGGTCACGATCGATATGTAATATGTTTGATTCCCGGGTGATAGTAAAATACAACCAAGAATATCAAACATATCTTACCGACACGTGCCACTCGGGTATCTTCTCTCTTCTATACCATTCCATTGTTCTTCTAAATACTTCAATATACACACACATACATAATAGACAAGGAGGGTAGATTTAGAAATGACACTGTACCTGTAGCTTGGGTGGCTTGCGCGGGCGCAGTGCATCAAGCTTGCGAGCAGCGGCATCGATGGAGGCGGCCGCACCAAGCAGCTCCGCCTCCGCAATCACCGTTGGGTCCTCGGGGTCCACCCATTCTGACCCTAAAATATACAATACAATTATCATCTGTACAAATATTTAACCAACGTGATGGATACACCTCACGTCACGTCACATACATCTTCGTAGATGATGATAATTTAAATGAGGTACAAGTTAATTTTACCTTTGAGTAGTTCAGCGGCGGCGAGCATGTCAGCAACGGCGCGGGCCACACTGCGCGAGAGGTCGGGCAGTGCGGAGCGCGCGGCGCCACCAGGAGCCGCCAGCACGGCCTGCAGTAGAGCACGGAACGCCTCGCCCGCTGCACGCGTCGCTTCCAGCGTACGTGTACGCAGTTCCTCTGTTTCTGCTGCTTGTGCAGCTCCCTGTTGAAAGCGGAATAAAGCAATTTAAAATAAGTTTGTTACTTCTCTGTAAAGTATGTGGTCCTTCGAGCAGGCTACTGGTCTAGACTAATATTTACCTTGGCAGCGACCATCATGTCGACGACGGTCTTGCGGCCAAGGTTGGCAGCAGCGGTAAGCTGGTCCTGGCTGCCTGCGCCTGCTGCACTGCCTGCCGCCACCGCGCGCGCCGTGGCTGCCGTCATCAGCCGCGTGCACCGCACCAGCTCCTCTGGAGTGGCAGTGCTTTTGGCGGGCGTCGGCGACATCAACACCTGCAAACATACATTAGTTTAATCAAAATTATTTCGTAATTTTTAGAAGTTATGACTTTTTGAAATAATAGATTTTTGTCACACAAATAATCTAAAACGTGAAAATTAGATCGATATGTATCAACTTTACCTCGATTTCCTGTGAGATGGCTTCAATAGTGGACTCCAGGGCTCTGGTGCCGCGGGTGTGCTCGTCCTCCACCGCCTTGACAGTCTTCAGCAGTGACGTCACGTTAGTCACCATCACCTACACACGGAATACGAATAATTGTAAAATTATAATAGTATTATAGGTAATATTAAAGAAGCTCTCATTAGTGAATACCGGGAATATTTTTGTGATGTTATAAATTACTTTGATTAAATATATGCAAATATATTTTAATAATATAAAGCATTTATTACATACTATCCCAATATCGCCCTATAAATATAACCAAATTAATATTTAGATGAAACCATAAAAGCAAATAAAATAATGAGCTGTGTTTGTATTTTCATATAAAGCAAATATTTCCAAATTAATTAATATACAACTGGGTAAGAACATATTAAACACATAATAATAAAATATTTATATAGTTCGACATTTATAAAAGCATATTACTTTAAATTTTATTTACAGTTTATATCTAATAATTGCAATTTTATTTTTAAACTCCTGCTAGGAAAAAGTGGACAGTAAAACAAAATGGTTTTAGTATTATTTCTTTTAAAACAAATTCTTAGTTATATTTTTGACATATGTTAGACCAAACAAACAACTAATTGTCAATTTACTACACTTCAAAAGCTTAGGGTTGCCAAATGAGAAAAGTATGGCTGATATAATTTATTAATCCCAATGATTTGCAGTCAAAATATACAAGCTCATGCTATAGCAGGAAACCCATAAGCTTTCAACCATAATCAAACTATAAATATACTAAAAAATATAAATATAAAGCTTGTTTGTGTGTACGTCAATATTGGACTTTGAAAGCTTCGCTGTGTGTGATATAAAATGAAAGCTTGTGGTTTTTAAAGTTATTTACTTTTAAAATATCAAGCGACGACCCGAGTCACCAGGTAACCGTGATATGGAGCGTGTTTGACGTTTCTCATGAAATGTGTTTAGTGGAGGGGTCTCACGTTACTGGTCAACGACCTAAGGTCCGACAATCATGCCACACAGAGGCCGATACAAAAACAAAACTAAACATATTTCTAATTCACATGATTGGAACAACTGAGCTGAAAATGATTGAAATATGATGATATCGTAAGCATAATACTTGAACTAAAGGGACTATCATTGTAATAATAATTTTAATCGGCACTGAGTGCAATTTTATGCTTAGGATACCAACATGTGAATTAAGAAGAGAAAGTAACGACAACAATGATCCGATGATCCAAACACCAGACAACATGACAAGCGACTCTTCTCCACACCATGCGATCCATTGCGTGCTCTGCATGACTCGTTTGTTAGACGCGGTGCACGGTCGGTTATTGTACAGGCTATTTAGAAATCTGACCGAGTCATTGTCGCTCGTCTTCACGTCTTCGCTCTCACGGAACCTGCTGTTAGTTATCTCGTCCAACATTCTCAGTTGCTCCTCCATACGACTGTTAGGTCTAGACTTTCTAGCATTGCTCCTATACTCCATTATAGCACGTATTCTACTCAAGTCTTCTTCAGTGGTATCTTTTTTGTTTATCATTGTTTCGTAAAACTTCCACCAATTGTCTATAGTTCCGAATTGATGTTCGCGGTTCTTTAGGATGTCTTCGTATATAGACCACCAGTTATTTGCGTAATATTCCATAGGATATGTACGGGTCATATCAAATATATCTAAATTGCTTACAGAATCTTGATTCTTTATATGCGATCTCTTTATAGAACCTCCATTATTCAATGACGTGTTACTATAATTGTTAACGTTTTTAGTAAGATTTTGACTTGAATGGACATTGACAATTACATTTCTATGGAAGGAAGGCGATGCCGATTTTCTGTCGTTCCTATTTGAATCCGGTGTTAATATTATTTGAGGCACTACATTTTCTTTCATACCAGCTTCGATCTTGTACTTCCTTATAACCTCTTTATAATACTTTTCAAGCAAACACAACTCTTCGTAGCTATACTTTGATACATCAATCTGGCTGTAAATATTTATAATATCTTGTATATGGACAACTTTTTTCTTTCTACTTTCAATTTGAACATTGGAAAGAGCTTTTAATTTTTCAATGAGAGGATCAAAACCTTTATAGATGAAATCTTTTTTGGCAAATTCAATTAGTTTCAAGACAATGTCTTCATATTTTTTATTATATTCTAATTCTTTATTAACTGCTTTAGAGTTATCAACATCTTCGATGAATGTTTGCAAAGTTTCTTTTTCCTTTTCATATTTATCGATTTCAGTATTAATTTCACCGAGAACTAGTTCATGACCACTGAAGCGGTCTAACTCACGTCTGGTCTCTTCCATTTTTTCTAGATTTCTTTTAGCTAAAGCCTTCCACCATTCAGTATCATCTTTAAATAATTTCCAAAATTCTAATTTAACCTCTTTTGTTCTGGATTCAGGTCGGACAGTTATTTCGTTTGGTTCATCTTTCTGTTTCTGATCGGGACTTGATGGTTTAGAAATAACTGGTGGAACGGGGGCACTTTCTAATATTTTAAAATCTGGACTTGGCGTTTGCCGTAAGTTTATAGGCTTTACTTTTTTGACTTTGAATATTGTGTTTTTAAGTGTTGGTGTTGGCATCTCTGATGCTGTATCCTTTGATGAGATGATAGTCTGTTTTGTTTTAATTGTACTTGTTATTTCTTCTTTTTTGATTGTTTCTGGTGGAATTATAACCTCAGAGTCCAGATCTTCTATAACTTGAGATAACCTTTTCATTTCTTTATCCAAATCTGTGGTGGCTTTGATACGTTTCAATGTATCTTGCTTTCTTTTAAGTTCATCTTTATCAGATATCTGTACGACGATATCTACTAACTTTTTAAGTTCCCCTAAAAATATATTTTCACCATACTTTAAGACCCTCCAATCCATATCGAAAATACTATTACGTGATGTTAAATTATATCTTACATTCAAGTCATCATCTTTAACATTTCTTTCTGGAGTTTTTCTCATAAGACTTTCAATGTACGCTATTGCCTCTTCACAATTATCGTGGAATATAGAAGGTGAGACATCATCATCTTGGCTAGAATAGTCTAGGAGTTTGACGAGTTCTTCTTCTTGGTCTGACTGGAAGATATCTGTTTCAGAGTCGCAAGAGTTGTAGTCAGTTCTGAGGCCGAGTGTAATGGAGCGGCGCTTGTTCTGTCGCGGCATTGTATTAGGTTTGATGGGTAGACTCCAGCGCTTCGTTGGGTCGCTCAGCCGCTATCGGAAAACCGTGAATTAGTCGCGGTTAAAGTCCAATATTGACAATATACATTTGACTATAACAATAAACAGGACAAGACACAAACATACAATGTTTCAAACATAACAAACTAAAATTTTATAAAAAATATAATTAAAAACCTACATTTTGCGTTTTTAATTTTTTGTGCAAGATTACTGTGAAGTTGTGTAGCATGAACTAGTGATTTACTAAATAGCATTCTAAGAAGAATACAAAGAAGCAACTATCACATATCGTAAAATTGTTTTATGATATATCTGTTCAGCGAAACCTACCAATGAGAAACAGTACATTCCACACATACATGTTAAATGTTTTTTTTTAAAAATAATTATGGCGTTTCTAATATTTTTAATCTGTGGTATGGTACGTATTAAAAACTGCGTGATTATTATTTTACTAGGTTTTTCCCTCATCTCCTTTCTAGACTACGTATTTCCAGAGTATGTTTTACATCTATGCCGAATTTTATCGAGATCCGTTGAGCCGTCCTGGAGATACCGTCTAACAAACATCCATCCATCTAAACTTTAGCATTTATAGTAATAAAATGGTTAAAACAACAGTCTATACCGTCCTGTATGAAATAGTGTAAGGATCCGTGTTGTGTATGGTACCTTAGCGGCGTGCTTGAGGCGCTGCATATCAGGATGTGCGACAGGCTTGCCGCTGGCTGCAGCAGTGGCGGCGGCGAGGTCGCGCAGTGCAGCAGCAGCGTCACGCGCGGCGTGCAGCACCATCACCTGAGGCTCAGCGCTTCCCGCACCCAGAGACATCGCGCCTTGCTTCACCACCTCGCACAGTTGTACTGCACACACCCAAACACAAATTTATTACTTGCCGCTTGAGTGGCACGTCGGGTAATAGCACTCCTGGTCCCAACGTGCTAATAGAAGTACTTGAAACTATATGGTACTTTGTACTTGAATTGCAAGTGCCACCCAACTGTTTCTCCTTACAAGATACTTAGTCAAATATGTTGAACTGACCCCCAACTTTTGCTAGCCCCACATGCATATCAAGAACATTAATATTCAGTAAAATGTCTACTTGGTCTATAAATTAATTCTTTTACTCTGACTTTTATTATACTATTGCAGTTAAGTCAAAAATATATTCAAAAGTTTTACAAGTACACTAAATATTGACATTTATTGTGCTAAATGATGTGAAAACGACTATAGTTTATTTTTCTTGTATTGTTGCCGATACAAACGGAACTCTTTATACTTTTAATTTTTATATTTTCGAACTTAGAATGTTTTATATTTTTTCTTCCTTTTAATAAACATTCTAAGTTTGAAAATAAAAAAAATAAAAAGTATAAAAAGTTCCGTTTGTATCAGCAACATATATTATCGGTTATAGTAACATACCTATAGTGCCGACTGCGCTCTGTGCGGCGGTGGCGAGCTGCTCCTGGGTTCCAGCAGCTCCTCCCACCAGCGTCTTGGTATCCTCCACCAACGTCTTCGCTGTCTTCAGTATATTCTCGCGGTGATTGGAGAATGTATCACCCTCCTTGTCCGAATGTAAAGTACCTAGATAGAAAAAAAATATAGTGTCTTGCTATTGACGAAAAACAAACAGAATATTTTTATTAAAAAAAATAACGATTTCAAGTATTAAAATGTATTAAAAACGGTATAGTTGTAGTTACCGGCACTGGCGAAGAGTATGGTGGTGTCAAGATCGCCGATGATGGTGGCAATGGTTGCTGCTGCGTCGATGCAGGCCTGTGTACCTCGGGAGCCAGCCTGCAGCGCGCTCAGCACGCCTACCACCTGCGCATAATGAACACTCATGTACATAAATTCAAACCCTGCTAATACAAGACAGATACAATGGAATTATCACAAATTGCATTAAGACCACATTGTCTGATTTTTCCATCGTGTCGTCTCATGCATATTTCATACTAATAAATTTAAATAAATGCAGACTTATGTTTCCTGTGAGTAAACTAGAAAAATCATTTAATATTCGTTTACAGTGGGTTTCTGAGACCAAATTATCGTTTAAAAGATAGTTTTGGCAAAGATAATGACAAGGATGACGATATGGTTTACACAGAGATTTTGGTCTTAGACACCCACGGTTAGTGGGTTAAATTATTAAATTATCACTGTACTTTTTCAGCTGCATATTAATAATCAGAATGTGAACCTTTTCATTGACGCGTCGTGCGGCATCAGCGACTGCGCGCTGGTTCTGCGGGATGGCGGAGAGCCGGCAGTGGCCGCCCGCCTTCACCAGCTCCGACACCGCCTCGCCCAGCTCCACCGCTGACATACGGATCCTACATAAAACATAAAAGATTCTTCATTTTTACCTAATTCTAGATAATGAAGTTTAAGAATTTTGCCGTATTTAAAGACTGAATGAAAATTATACAAAAGCAATTTTATGTTCCTATAAAGAAATAAAGTTCAAACATTTTTTAATTTGAGTTGGTAACTTAGGACACCAGACCTATAAGGTCATAAATAGTAAAGGGTCTAAGGGTCTTAAAGTATTGTCACCTGTTGGCGACATCGGCGTTGGGTGTGGTGGCGGAGGCGCCCACACTGTCACCGGCCAGCTGCTCGTACTTGCCGCACATCTCGTTGCCGACTTCCACGAGACGGCTCGGTTCAGTCGCCGATTTCGCCGTCTACAAATATTTATACATTTTAGTGCATAATTGATTGTGAAATTTGTTATACACAACATTAATAGGGACACAGTATTTGATATAATTTTAGTACTAATAAAATATCTTACATTCTTCTTTAAATTTTCATCCTAAACCACTTTATACTGGCTACTTTTAAATACATTATTTATTTTTATTTGCTAGGCATATAAAAACATCAATCGCAGTTAGACGTGTTTTATTATTGGGTCATGGTTCTAACTTCTAGACAACATAGCCTTGATTTTCCATTAGATTGAGAACGGAAATGTAACTAAAAGTATAATTACCAATAAAAACCGTGTAATTAAATATGATAATAATTACGTTTTAAGAAATTTGAAAAAAAAAGGATTGCTTACATTCTAGAGCAAATAATTTTAGCTATTTAATTTTAATAAACAATCATATTAAACTTGATTTGAAATTCAATGCCGGCTAACAAACCTAACTGAATAGTTAACAATTCTCTGTCTTAATATAGTCAACTACAAACTAGAGTAAAAATCAAACATTCTTACCATATCAGTGGCTAATCGTGCTATTTCTTTAGCGGCTCCCACCATCCTGGTCTGATAATCCACGAAGGAATCCGTTTCATCGTATGATCCGATTAACGACATCCTAAACAGAAAAAAAAATTACTACCAAATTTCACTACACAACAAGTTTCACAAATAGTTCACAAGCGTATTTCAATTGGAAATAAACCAATTTATTAAAACTATGATAAATGAATGATAATTAAAATGATCGCGTCATTCAAGAGTTACGTACATTTTGTTCGCAAATTATAAACATGCGTCCGATACACCGCGGTTCATCCGCACTCACTGAGCGTAATGTCTGTTTATACGCTTTCTTACATTACGTCATAGTAGCTTTTAAAGCTAATATTATAATATTACCGAACATGACTTTTTTATTATAATTTAATAAATGACTTGGAAAATAATATTAAAAAATTATCTACTAACACAACACTTACTTAAAGATTTTTTTTTTATTTTTGACATAGAAATGTTACGTGTTTTAATAATGAGAAAGTATAAAGGAAAAGAAAATATTTATTTCGTTATATTAGTTGGGTATAGGGCACGAAGAGTGGCTTAGGTCATTTCGATTATCTGTATCCAATTATTTTGACTGGCATTGCGCCAGACGAGTCAATACTCTAAATTACGCATCTGATCGCCTACTCTATACACAGCATTTTATGTATTTACTATGAAATAAAGTTGTATTAGGCCAAAAATGAAAAAAAAGGTTCTAAATAATAAGTTACAATAATATTGTTCTTTTTATTTCTAACATATTTTGTCCAAAAACTTTTTTTTTCGTTATTCATGAAGAACCATTTTATTCATATTTTGTTCATTCCCAGCTAGTGAGAAATCTTTACCATACATCAGGCTTTAAAAAAGAAAAAGTACAAACATAAATAATTTGCCTATGACGGATGACATGTTTCATACAGAGATTTTTGTCTCAGAAACCAACTATTAGTGTTAAAATAACTATATCTGTCTCTTTTCCAATATTGTGTATATTATTGTAATGCAAAGGATTCGCACATCGCAACGGTCGATGCGCTCACCAGCTATCAAAAGTTCACAAATAGTCCATCCGTCACTCGGCCTATATATACCGGCGCAGCCGCCAGCTGACCGCGCGGTTAAGGCCACTTTAAGTATTTATACACCGCTTTAACTCATAACAGACTCTTCAATCAAACATCATGAACAAATATTAAACAGTACTGCTAGGGGGCTTTAAGCAGAACACAAATAAAAGCAAAGTACAGCGCCACCTATGAATAAGCATTTTTTTATCAGAATTTTAAATTAGAATTTATTTATTTTACTAGAAACGTAGACATGAAATCGTAGTATTCTAGGTCAAGATTATCGATTGCAGCACAACTAAAGTTTAATAAACTTTCTACAAGATATTCAACAGAACGAAAAAGGATATTTCTTGCTAACCTTAATATAATCTCTAACAAAATATAAGCTATTGATTTTGCATTGTACCTGTGTTCAGTAAGGCGTGCTACAGCGCGTGCCAGTGAGTCAAGCAGTGGACCGACAGCACCTCGCTGCGAGCTGAGTTCGCGAACATGTGTGCTGAGCTCGCCGAGCGCCGCGCGCGCCAGCGAACACTGCGCCTCCACCTCGCCCGCCGCGCTCACAGCCTGCACAACAAACACACTTATATCTTGTTTACTACTTCTAGTAGATTTACCATTAAACCGCCACTAAGGTACTACTTAATTTGTTAAGTAACTATTATACGACTGTGGGTGAAAGAATGTATCCCGTAATGTAAATAGTAATCCATATATTTTGTCTCTTTCTCTCTCTGCATCGTTACGTCATTCCGGGGGGCAATGACCTAGCTTCATGACCATCCATCCATCCATGTTAAGGTGTTTCTAATAACATATATCCCCTGAATTAAGCCTTCTGAGTTTAAATGTTATTTCTGTAGCTAGTCAATAGTAAATATAGGTGTATACTAGATAAGAGGGATGTGAAAGAAAACTGTATATTAATTATAAAGAAAAGTGTCCCTTACTCTGGGGTTGCCAGCAGCGAGCTTGGCAGAGTGCACGAGCAGCGCGAGTGTCTCTAGCACGGTGCGCGCGTGTTGCAGCAGCGCGGCCTGCGCACGAGACTCCGTCGTGTTGGAGGCTGCGCCCGCCGCCGCACTAACCAATGGCTCCGCGTACGACACCTACGCACAAAAACAAATTATTATATACACTAGCTTTCGCTCGCGACTTCGTCCACATGGAATTAAAAGAAAAAATTCAATAAATAGCTTATATGTTCTTCCAAATAGAGATCCGTTTATCCATTCTTGAGATACATTCTAACAAACATCCATCCATCTAAACTTACGCATCTATAATATTAGTAAGATCTCAGTTCAAATCACCATAACACTAGTTCTCCTCTACATACAATTTTTTAAAACCAAACAGGTCAGGAAACAGAAAAGACTCAAAGGCACAGATCATTCTTTATCTATTTTTTACATGAGTGCAATACACTCACAAGTTGCACGACGGCGTGACCAAGGTTCTCAGCCTCACTGCGGGCGGCCAGGCGCAAAGGCTCCAGTCGCTCCAGCATCTCTGCCGCTGCATTTTCTATCTGCTCAGAGTAACCTGCGACAGTACATTATGTATTAGAACAGATGATATTAAGACATCATTATCACAGATATCAACAGAGCTAAGTTTAGAGTAAAAATTGTATAATAATAGTGGTACCTTGCAATGTGTTAGCCTGTCGCGGCTGCAGCTCCTGTCCCACAGCCTGTATGGCCACTTGATCCAGTTCGCGGAGCTGCTTGTTGAGAGTCTCCAGTGCTGCGGCGCATTCCCGCTGTCCTGGCGCCTTCTCACTACGTAAACAAATATATTGAGTACTCTATAGTTAAGATAAATTTAAAACGAATTGATTGTTTATCTTTAAAACCGTAGACATTTCAGAAGCTTTAATTTTTGTAATAGGAAAAATAGTAAAGAATTGAAAGAAAACTATCAGAGTGAAATAAGATAAGAGGATATGCGAGGATTTTACTTTGGTTTACGACTGTCGTTACTTATAATAACATATATTTGTCTCTGGTTTTCCGACCAGAGTGTAAGTGATGGCAATATATTATGTCAATGCAGTGAAAACCTACAGTTAGTTAAAGCTGTAACATTTTTGGCACACACTGACCGTATGTTAGTGACGAGAGCCTTGATGCTATCGGAGACTGTCTTGCTGTGTGCAGCGAGCGCCTGCCACTGAGCGCGCTCCTGCGGCGACAGTGCCAGCGCACGCGCAGCCTCCAGCATTGAGCACGATCCTGATATTATGTTCCTATATACATACAAAAATATGATTTTAATTTTAAAATATTTGAGTCTTGTTGCTGCACACAGATTGGATGTTTGGTCCCCCTTACATAGACCTCAATGCGGCAGATAAAAACTTGAAAATAAATTAAAATACAATAAAAAAAAAGAAAAATCAATTCTATGTAAGTAAAGTAATCACAATTTCAGAATAACATGACAGGGTCTGCAAAGGGTGACTTTTACGTGTCAACTTTTACATCTTAATTTTTTTTATTCTGTCAAAGTTCACTACCTTCCGCAAATAAGTATGGCCTCCTGGCTAGCGCGTGCCTGTGGTGAGATGCGAGCCGGAACCGCCGCGAACTCGGGGCTGTCCGCAAACTGGCATAGACTACGCACCGCGTCCAGCAGCGGACCTGTTGCTGACGCGCAACGAGCGCGATTCGCCTGTACATCAAGAAGTCATTTAATTATCAGCATTTAATATAGTCCAGTGTAATTTAAAATGGCTAGTGTAACATAAAAATGAAACAACATTCTAACAAGTCCACCTTAGAAACAGGAATTTCAAGATTGTATATGTCTTTTCGATATACTGTAGTATGATAAAATAAATGTATCTGACCTCGCTGTAATCAGCATCCAGCGCTTTGATCTCTTTAACGAGCGCTGCTGTTGAGTTGGCGACGTCTTTGGCGGCCTGCACGAAGTGTCGCTTGCTCTGCGGCTCCGCTGATCGACCGGATGCCACGCGGCACGCGTTGCACAACGCACTTGTATGCTTTGCTATCACTGTTGCCGCGGATAACACCTAAAACACCATGTATATTATAGAAACAACAACCTTCATTCACTTTTGTATGTGACATGCTATTTCAAATATCTTGGCGGCTCATCTGCTGCACTCTTTTAAGCACGTACGATGGTCAGAGCCGTCAAGACATGTGTAAAATTCAATACCTGTTGTTGATTGCTATCCTTGTCGCACAATGTCTTGCAGGCCTGGTCTATAGCGAGTGCAGCGCGCGCAAACTGCGCCTGGTCCACCAGACCAGGTCTGCCCGCCACGCTGGTCTCATCGGACACCGCCACCTGATTGGTAACAAAAAAAATTACATAGCTTAATAATTAAATCATATTATTTGTACAAGTTTAAAAACATACTTTATTCGAATATTATAGAAAAGTGTTGCAAATATTGACTTACGAGATATGCTGCTTGGGCGGTACACTCGACTAGGCCCTGCACGGATGCGGCGACTGCGGCCACGGAGCGCGCGAACTGCTCAGTCTCGCCGCGCTTCACAGCGCCCGCCATTCCTGACATGCCTTCACCTGCATCAAGATAACATATGTTACATTATTAATTCCCAAATTAAGTACACATTTAAAGGTTTTTTTTTTCTTCTAACATGTTGGTAAACTTATTTTCATTAGATAACATACAGCATGTACATTCTCAATGTTTTAATGTAATTCATACGCTACAATACGATAAAATTTTACAATTATTTTGAAGTCTGAGAAATTATTCAATAGTCATAGAATTCTGTTTAAGTTACAACAAAATAAAAATAAAAACCAGATAGAATATGGCTAGTTGTTACAGAACTGAAGTAAGATTGTCGCCCAAAATATATAATTTAAAATCTTAATTATTAAATTACTTTATGTAAGTTTGCAGTGTTCGAAAAGTATGTATTTGTTACTGACTGAGTCCTTTGCTCTGGTCGACGACGCAATCGAGACAGGCGAAGTAGCCGAGCTCATTGAGCGGCTGTGTGGGCGCAGCGAGCAGCGGTCGCGTGCTGTCGATGCTACGGATGGCCGCCGCACACTCCTTCTGCCCCGGAGCAGCCTCTGTGCACACGTCCACCTGGCACACGCAAAAACAAACATCTTTTAATATGTCATTGCCTCAGGGGAGTAATGTCTATGTAAGTTTTTATATGGGTTTGTATGTATGTAAGTTTTATTTTGACCACCACGCCTGAGAGCCAGCATCGATTATGACAAGTGAGTTTTTTCTAACTAACAACTTTATTGTTAACGTCATTTAAACTGTTACTTTTTATTTATGTTGTATGCTGTAAGAGGGACATCGTTTTTTTAATAAAAAATTGTACTCACAAGGCGATTGATGCTTTCTGTCACTGCCCTTGCTGCTGCGGCGAGTTGGTTCTTAGCGTTCGGTCTCGTCAAGTCCTAATAAAATAAAAAGACAATTTTGCATAAAACGCTCTATTTGAATAGAAATACATTTAAGTATATCACTATATAAAAAAAAGCCTTACCTGACTAACAGATTTGGCGGTGCCGAGCAGTTTCGATGAGTTCACGGTCACGGTCTTCATCGAGCTAACCATCGTCGCTTGAGACTCACGATCCTAAGGAAAAACTCTTTTTTTTTAAACTAAACTTTCAACCTAAAAACTTATTCGAATTCCAATTATAAATATCTAGCATCAATCTCAATATACAATAGTATTTCGTTACTTACTTCAGTCTGTCCGGCCATCTCCATGGAGACGCCGAGTAGTCGGTTGAAAGCCTGTCCAAAGTGCCGGCCGCTATCGGCGAGCGCGTCCGGCTGCTCTACCGCCTGCACCACGTCTGATGATGCTGTGCTCAGACCCACCGCAGCAGCGTTCAACTCCGATTGCAGTTCGCTACAAAAACACGTAATCATCAACAAACTGTAGAGTACGGACTGTTCCATCCATCTCTTTCAACCGACATACTTGAATTCACACAATCCATCTACGTTCTTGTTAGTTTCAGCACGTACTACCATTTTTAAATAATTTATTAAATTATATGAAACCAAGACAATTATCATTTAACTATTTCTAGGAATAAAACATTACATGTAAGTAAAATTAGTTTTTTTTATAGTTACCTGTATGTTTTGTCAGAAGGCGGGAATTCTCCCATGTTCAAGATATTAAGAGTTTCATTGATGTTTTCCATTGCCATATCGAGTTCCGCATGCGAGGGTACCGCTTCCATTGTTTGTTCCAAATTCTGTAATTATAACACTTATTTAACACGAAAATTAATTTGAAAGATTATTTACAATCATTAATCGTTTGAAAAAATCAACTAAAACTGTTATGACTTTATTACCTGTGAAATGTCTTTAGCTATAGCGACGATGGAGGCGGTGTCGACATCTTCCGAAGTGTTCATGTATTGCTTCACAGTCTCCACCAGAGTTAACGAGGAGTGTAGTACTTGACGGCCCGATGAAATAACACTGCGTAAACAAAAAAAAATTGTAAATACAAAGAATATATAAATCACTAGTATCGAGAAGTAGACAATAGTGTTATTTAAGTAACAATTTGACATATGCCTCTAATTAAAAGTCTTCCTAAGCAAAGATTAACGTCTCTAAGTATTTCAACTGAATAATAAATGTTTTCATCGCCCTCACCGTAGTTGTTTGTGTGGTGCGCGATGTGCTGCAGCCGCGGCAGCTCGCAGCGGGGGCGTGTAGTCTCGCAAAGCGGCTGCTAACTCTGCAGCGGCACGTCCGCATCCGCCCGCTTCACGTACACGCACCGCACCCGCCAGGGCAGCGGTCGCAGCACCAGCCGCACGGGACGCGCCTTGTAGACGCGATGATGCCCATTCACTCTGTTAACAATGTTAAGTTATTTAATGCTAGTTGGTGCCAGCGGCTTCGTCCACAATGAATTAAAAAATTACACCCGGGGATATTGTAGCTTTTCAATAGTGAAATTTGTGTGTCTATGCGTACCGTCTGTCCGGGCATGGGTTTCAAGTCGAAGGCGCGCGCAGCCTCCTCCATCTCATCAAGCTCGGCCTGCAGGCTGCGGATGATCTCTGCCGCAGCATCCAACTCTAGACCCTTGCACGATATGCGGGCACGGTTCACAGCAGATCTGTTCGCAATATATCTCTTTAGTTTAAATTATATTAATCAAATAAGTGTCAAATCAAACCGTAGTTTTTACCAAATCGGGTTTAAATATGTTAACGTAATGATTTCAAGACTTTTACAGAAAACTTTATTTTGTATCATATAATTAGATAAGTTATGTCATTACCTGAGGTCAGCGCAGCTGGTGGTGAACTGGTGCGTGGTGTCAGCGAGCTGTTTAGCAGTGGGTGCGTCGGCTACAGTCGGCAGCACACTACGCGCCGCCTGGATCACGTGTCCACTCGGCTAATACATCACAAATAATATTATTATTATTGTTCTTCAAAGTATCAGTTGTAAAAATTATCAAATAAAAAATAACACAATTAAAAATATTTGCTCAGTCAGGTGTTAAAAAAATTATGTAGCTAACTGGAGATCTAGAATAATAAAGCATTTTACTAAAACTAGTTTCATTAACATCTTAGGTACCTGTAGGAATGTCTCAGAGGCGGATATCAAGTCAAGCTGCGCTGCGGCCTCACCAGGACGCGCGGATGATGCCTTGGCGGCGTCAACCACTCGCGGAATATGCTCGTTCAGCACGCGGCACTCTTGTAGTAACGATTCCTAATAGTTAACACATATTTAATAGCTGGTAGATACATGTAAAAAATACAAAATCCCTTATAGCACTAGGGGAAAGAATAATTCTATAAAGACCACAAACCTGTGAATATTTATTGGTATTGTGCTGAGTAGCGTTATGAGCAGATGTGATAAGTTGAGTGGCGCTGGATGCTGCTTGTCTCGCGCTTTCCTATAAAAATACAATAGAATTATTTATTAGAAACTTGTTTATCGGAATTCTATATTAATGTAGTATAAATAGTATTTGTATTATTTCACCATAGAAAATTTTAAATATATTTACTTGTAGCCGTGCGATTTGTGTACCGACGATGTCCTGTCCCTGTGCGTAGTCGACGGTGATGTAGCGAACCTCTTCAGCCGCCCGTCGCAAAGCCTCTTGTTTGTCACGGTCCTACAATAATACCACAATCAATATATTGCTGGATTAATACTTTGTTACGCAACATGTTTACGTATTCTAAATTATTCTATTTCTTTTATTACATGAAATCCTCTGTCACTTGCAATAATACGAAATGAAGAGGATGGTATGCATTTAAACAAGAGTCAATGCAGTAATATTTTACGGCTGTTCAAACAAAGTATATTATAAATACGTTATTTTAAGCTATTTAATTTAAGTAAAGTTGCAAATAATGTATGCACCTGTGGTGAAGAGGCACAAAGTCTGGCAGCTTCGACCATGCGTGCAGTGGCGTCTGCTAGCAGCTTAGCAGCTGCAAGTAACTTGCGCTGCGAATCCGACGACTGCGTCTCAGCCTCCGTCTGCATCAAATATAACATGTATTAAAACATACAGATATACCATTATCAAAATTTTATAGATAAATTATTTGAGTTGTTTATTGTGACCGATTTTCCTGTAGATTGGATATTATGATGCAAAGTGCGATATACTTATATGACCAATTGGTTTAATGAAAATTATGAACACCGGGTTAGATAAGTTGGTCGTTGTATATTAACCTTGATATCTGCGATGAGCCTGGCAGTTGCCTGACCAAGAAGGCGCGCGCGGCGCACCATCTCAGGCGCGTCGTGAGCGTCCGTCACCCTCTCGCTGGCAGATACCACGCTTTCCACACTGCGCTCCATCACTGTCGGCTGCACGCTGCGGCGCTCTACATAAAGTTGATGATATTTTTATAACAATTATATGTAATTTAATTAAATTCCACGTAACTTTAGTAGGGCAATAAAAATCATATGTCTCCAACTTATAAATATAATACTTACCTAAATGACAATGCGCTAGCAATCTCTCCAGCTCTTCAGAGACCCTCTGTGCAGCGGCGGCGAGTTGCTCCACGCCGGGCCCGGCGGCTTCCGGTGCCTGTCTGCTGGCATCCACCAGCCGCTCCACTGCCGCGCCCACTTGACGCGCTGCACTCGTCAGTTGTTCCCGACATGCAGGGTTGTGCAAAGTTGGTGCTACGACCTAATTAAAAAAGTATTTAATTGCACCGACTTGCTGAATAATATATATTGACTTATTAGATTACTTTTTTATCTATAGTTTCTAACTAGTGTGTTCGTATTTCTTTTTGGCGTAGTCGAGTACCTAGGTGGCCAAAATTGATTCTCTTTTTTGTAACATACACCTATAAAAGATTATAAATATCTTTCATACCTTAGCACAGGCGACAAGCTGACTGGTAGCTAGAGCGCAATGCGTTGCGGCCGCTATAATATTATTCTGCAGCGTCTGATCATCCTTGCACTGCGCCGCAACATTCTTCGCTTTCAGTACCAACGCGGCAGTTGTATTAGCCACGGCTTTAGCCAGCGACAGCAAAATATCCTAAACAAAAGTATAAATATTTATAAACGTGGGATTCATAAAAAGTTAATCAGTGATATTATTCTTTACGTACGTGACGGTCCGCGCCTGTCATTTTATTAATAGCAATAAAGCAATGACACAGTTTTGCATTATAAAAACAGCGCGAGTTATTTTTAGGTACGCGACAAACTCCTTGTATAGCTGATATCTATATCTAATTAGATATATCTAAATCAATTTCAATCAAAAATTATAATAATCGTGACATGACACGTAATTATTTAGACTAGTCCTTGTAATATAGGTCACTTAACGACCTTGAGGCCATTACTTTCGAAAAATTATATCACAAAATGCATGTTGTTTTAGTCACCTCAATCTCAAATTACTGTACACAATATTAGAAATGAATTTCGTATTAACATGTTGATGGGATAGATTAGTAATTTTATTAAAATTATCTTTGTCACTACATTCACTTTTACGGACAGTTAGTCGTAAATAAAAATCCAGATTGTGATGAAAAAGCAAATGTATTAACAAAAATAATATAGCAGTGCTTGTTTATACTTAGTTTAAACTGTAACTGTACCCAAAATTCAATGTATATCATAAAATATTAGCAATTTCATTCGACTGTAACAAGATTGAAATATTGCTAATTTAATTTGTCAAGTTTATTTTATTTTTATCATTTTAGTGTTATGGCACGAATTTAGTCATCATCGATTATTTGTTTTAATGTATAGAAAAGTAAATATGATTAAATAGCGGCTAAAAAGAAGTAAAAATTTGATTCCTCAAAACTATTTGACTTATTCGGTGGTCATCTTGAAATCTATGAGTTATTGATATGTAATAGTACTCGGCACAAATCTTAGTGTATCTGAAAGCAATTTTGCTTTTGCATATCTGTAAGTTTGACGACAGAAGCAAGACAAATTTTCTTTCTCTGTCCTATGTATTCTCTTGTGAATATGTTTGTCTCGCTTACTCCTTATGAAATGCAATATTTAACTTCAGACACACAAAGATTTATGGCTAGTTCTATGAATGTTGTTACGGTTGTAAATTTTAGACAAAGCACCATATTAGTGAACACATATTTACAAAATTGGTTACAGTCGTTATTGATGTAGAATATTAAAAACAAAAAAACCCTTATACATTACAAAAACAAGGTCCAAACAAAAAATAGCAAATAATACTTAAAAACTATTTGGAGAAATGAGATTCTTTTAGGAACGTTTTTGGCATGACCAGGATAATATGAAAATGTAATTTTAAAAATCTGCCTTGGATTCTTATTTCTATTACAAATGTTCTATTAAACTCTTTTTATGGACGGAATACAATTAAGTACAGTATAATATAAACAAAATGTAATATCTCTGGTCATGTATAAAGCTAGCTGCCAAATAAATTCCAATTAAAACAATTAACAGAATAATATAAGATATAAGAAAAAAAAACAACTAAATTATATAAATAAAAAAATGTTACGTGCAGTCTTTTTCCTTAACTTTGTCTTCAAGACACAATACGATATAAATAAGTACGACAAGGTTATCTGAGCCGGTAAGAGAGAGACAGCTACAGTACAATAAGGATCTCTTATAATACTTTTTTGACATTTGAAGGGCGCTAGTGTGCTGTCATAATTTATTTTGACTCATACCGGGTCATATACCTTTGTCGGTCTGTAAAAAAAAAAGAAAAAGCAAAGGAAAATGACATAAACAATAATACTAACAATATAAATTCTGTGCAAAAATGTGATGTATAACAACTCCTTCATTAGGATTTCTTCCAATAACACCAACATATTTAAATCTATGGCATATGTTGTATATTGCAATAGGCAAGTATATTATGGCAAGGGAGGGGAGACAAGTCAATGGTCATTTCAGCACTTGGCAAATATCGGCTTATTAAAATTTCTCATGGAAAAATCTAGCAAACGAATTCAATATAATTCATAGGTCTTATGTTCCAGTCTTTTACATTTTCAATAACATCCATGTCTTTAAATCACAGCATTTCAAAACATTTTCGTCCTGTATCTGTGCCGTTACCCGCCACACATTCATCGTTAGAAAATAATGTTTGTATCAACAATAATATTAAGACGAATAGTAAAGATAATATGCATAATATATTTAGCCAATTTTCTCTCCATATCTTACTAAATTCTATCTCTAAACAAACACATTCCGGGCAACATTTCTCATCGGTTTTCGGACATCGTTTCTGACAGAACTGGCATAAACCTAGAGCTTTAGCGTCCATTGCAGAGAAGGTTGGATTATAAAATATACGAATTTCAGTCTTTCCTTTAGGCGGTGTTTTTGTATTGTTAAGTTCCACCGTTGTAGTCCTATCACGTGTTTCACTGGTATAATATTTCTCGCTTCGCTTTATAAATGTTTCTAAGTCATCGCGTTTGAGATTCAATTCCTTTTTAGTAAAACTAGCTTCTACCATCTCTTTGTATGTCTCTTTTGTGGTCAATGTTCTATTGTATTTGTCTATATTAAGTATTTTCATGTTGAGAGAGCCCGAAACTTTCATTTCTGGACCTGTTTTGGTGACGTCATTCCTAATCGTTTGACATTCGATTCTTTTAGAATTATTGTATCTATTGAATTGTTCGTTAATATCGTTTTTATCATTATTATTTGATAGAAAGAAACGTTCGCGTAATAATTTATTTTTAGTTCGTCTATCTATATCAATATTTGCGTATTCATGTTCAGGTTTTTCTGGATTGAAGTTTATATTAACATAGTCATGATTAGCGAAGTCTTTTTTGAGGTTAAAAATCTTCTCTGATGTTGATTTCGGCGGGAGATTTAAGCTGTCATCGTCTTTATCATCTAAATAGTCTTCGCAATTTTCTAGAATGGATTCAAAATCGCTATTATTGCCAGATGTGCCGGTAGATGGCGTTTTACTTTGATTGATTTCGTTCAGAGTAACTGGTCGTCCGGGACTGAAGTAAGTGTTGCAATACTCCAAGCTTCTATAATAATCACTATCAGACTCTTCCTGTATAACATCCAGCATTCTTCCCCACGTGTTGCTTGTATCAATATCTTCATAAATACCCTCATCTTCAACTTGTTTAGGTCGATTACAAGTGACGTCATCGACGAGGATTGTTTCAAAATCGGATCCATATTCCTGTTTATCCTTGTTACCAAAGAAAGCTTTATAGAAATTATCGTAGCAATAATTAAGTTTTCTGTACAAAAATGACTTTTTGTTGTTTTTATTTTTCTGTGTATTGTCGATTTTATTTATATTTACCTGCGTCTCCTTGTCCTCTTCGGTTTCCTCACCGATGGTGTGAAGGACTGAAGTAGACGCTTCACCGACGCGTGATGCAGCATTAAGAAGGTTCTGACGAGGCTGGAAACAAAAGTAAATTATAACGCCTTAATCAATCTATGGTCCTTCGAGCAAGATTAAAAAATTAAATAAGCTGGAGTCTTAATTTTCTTTAGCTTACCTCCTTCGTTTCAGGTTCAGCAGCCTTCAACAGATCGCTAAAAGCGCTACACAACTTTCTAGTCGCATCAAGAAGTTTGTCTCCGTCATCAGTATCATCCATAAGAGCGGCAATGGTTTGTACACCTGCAGAAAATAAACATGTTATTTTTGTTATGAAAACAAACAAATTAATTGAAAAAATTCGACTATATCATTATTTTAACTTTACCTTTAGTCATTTCTGGCAAATTAGTGGTGATTGTTGTAATGGCAGCGCCCACAGCGGTGTGGTCTACCTCCTCAGTGGGACCTAAAAGAAATATAATAAGGTAATAATTCACAACAATGACATTTCTTGATTAAACCGACAAAAATGTTTTAAAATGCTCCTCACCCGATGTAAGAGTGACGACTTGCGCTGTAGCAGCATTCATGGCTGCGATCTGTGACGTCACAACTTGCTTGCTGGTGTCCATCGTCACCTGCTTCCATTTAACAGATGCCGCGTCATGTCCCAGAGCTGGTAGAGAAGCCTGGAAATTGTACACACGATAAATATAAGATAATAATATTACAAGACTATACACTTAATCTAGCTGTTGCCCGCGACTCTGTTCGCGCAGAATAAACTTAATTAGAAGCCTATGTGTTATTGTATCCATGAGGCCATTCTGGAAATACCTTGTAACAAACATCCATCCATCCTAATATTGGCAATTATAATATTAGTAAGATTATTGTTATTTAATATTTTGCTATTGGCATTTTAATAAATAAATTAGTCGCCACTTACCCTGCTGAGACCTTCCTCAGTCTGTCGTATGATCTCTCGACCACCAGTGATGGTGGACAATAACGCGCGCTGCGGCTCTGTCAGTATCGATGTTACGCGCGTTTGTTGAACCTGCGACGCCTGCAAACATTTCAAAACAATTTAAAACCTATAACATATTTGTTTTTTATTTTGAAATGTAATTTAATAGCCGTTAAGTCTTTATTTATATAATGTACCTACACAGCCCACTTTGAAGACTGCACAAATCCATTAAATACGCAGGCGTGAAACAAACAAAACATCGGTCAATATCTTCAATGCAATATTGCATAAAAATTCAACCATAATTTCAATATTAAACCCATATTATTATATATTCAACATCTAATATCAAATACAAAAAATATACAATAATAAATACAATCCACTAATTTTATTCCAAAAAAAAAACTAAATAAAAAATATACTGACAGTAGGCGGTGTGTGGCCTGTGATGATCTGACCGGAGACTGTGGTCTGCTGCGCGCCGGTGAGGTGACCCACCGCGAACGGCTTAGCACCTAACGTCGCCAATGCATAACAAGCTTTCAATAAATCACAGCGAAAAAAATATATATAACAGCTTATTTACAGCTTATATAAAATATGTTCTCTCTATTTTTACAAATATAACAAAAAGGATAGAAACATGTTTTTGAACATGTTTCGGCAATGTAAACGATAAGCTTTTATACGTTTGAAGCCTGAATCCAAGCTCTGTTTCTAATAAAAAAAATAGAAGCTAAATAACTACAAAATATAAATAAAGCACTGTACAAGTATTTGCAATAAATATAATTCATCATTACCTTCTGCACCAGGTCTGAGTACCGCCGGCTTGGCGACTGACTCCATATTCACTTTGCCCGATTTGAATGTGTCATGTTGAATGATGTTGGCCCTAAGATAGAAAAGGTATAAAATAACATACATTTCATATATGTACCCTTAAAAACATAAATAATAGATCTACAATTAGTAGAATACTATAAAGTGTTTAAAAGGATCCGTCTTTTGACGTTAAAATCCACTTCTATTTCCTGTACTTTACGACCCAGATAATATGGACTCATCTCGTTTTTTTAATGCTTCTGGATTTTGAGAATAAAATAATTACTACAAGCAAAAATACACACAAACTTCATAAAAATAAGTATCAAAATGCCAAGTACTTACTTGGATGGTGAGACAGAGTCTTCCAGCATAGCTGATCCTTCGTCTCCTTCAATGCCGAGGTGGTCTTTAGCACGTTGTTTGCGAACAATAATGTCGATGTAGCCAGCTATCACCTGCAGGATTTGTTCTGCTTCCGTAGTCTGCACCGAGTAGTACTGATCGCTGCATAACACAATTTTATTACTATTTTATAACAATACTGACTAACATCTACACAATAACTGCCATACTTGTAGTTCTTTACTAGTGATTAAGGGACAGCCTTAGTGTAGCTTTGTCATACTTTTTACACTAAATAAAAATACTTAAGGAGTCTTGAGTTGCAATATTAACAATCTCAAATAAATAGGTGATATTGATGATGTAAATTGGGGTGTTTAGCTACTTTTTATTCATTAACTTCGTTATTTTAAATCACACTGTATAGTATTTTGTATGTTTTTAAATTTATTTTAAGAAAACAAAAAGGCATGTCAAAGAACATTTTGTGACATGTTTAGCAATAAATGGTATAAACTAAATATTTTGGGAGCATTATTAATTAATCCAAAGTGTGAGGTTAATTTAATTATTTGTCTGTACCTGTAGTCACCAAAATCCAATGTAAAAGTATTGGGACTGGCACACCAGCGCCGCACTGTGGTCAGCGGCCACGTCTGTAAAATCTCCTTCGTCTTTTCGTCCAAACGCAGCACGGAATCTTTAGTCACACCCAGCAGACGAGGCACTAGTTTGTTCTTGCCTTTCATTTTCTCCTGCAAAATATTATTATAAATTTATAGTAAAACTCTTTATCTTTACATAATATTATAAAGAGAAAAGATTGTGCGTTTGTTTGTATTTAATAAGCTCGGAAATTACTAAACCTATTTAAAAGAATTCTTTCACTATTTAGAAGCGGCCGGGCCCCGGGGACATAGGCTAGATTTATTTTTAAATTGCTAGTAATCCCAAATATAATTATCCAAAAATATTATCAATTATAGTTCAAAATATTAAACTTTTTTAATACTGAGTTAAGAAGTTTTACCTTAACCAAGAAGAAGGCGACACCATACGTCTTCAGATCTCTAGCACTCTTGGTGTACAGCACTTTAGCGTCCAGCTCGCTCAGACCAGCATGTTTGCGATGCTCCTTGAATATCTTCTTCTCAATGCCCTTCACTTTCACATAGGACGCCGGCAGGAATTCTTTCAGACTGTACAAATAACATAGTAAGAATTAAACATATTAAATTTCATAAATAACGGCCATTACGATATTTCATTTATAAGGTTAATTTAAGAAAATTGTTTTACGGGAAATTGTATATAAACTTATTAGTTTTAGTAAAAAGTCAGCAGTTTGTCTATATATACTTACTCTAAAAAGCCTGGAGTATGTTTGTCCTCTTTGTGATCGCCGAATTGTATCTGACACTGTATGCCGGCAAACTCGCACGCTGGAAATGCAAACAAATATTAACATTGCTTGAAATTTAAAACTTACTAATTTTAGGACCATCATAAACAATATATAAACCGACAAGGCTATTTGAACCTGTAAAAGTCAAACTTAATTATGACAGCTCACTAGCGCCCTCATATTAAAGTCAAAAATATTACAAAATCCTCTTTGTACTGTAGCTGTAGGGTCATTTTGTATGACTTAGTAGGTTTCTTATATATTCCGACAGAACCAATCATGAAAGCATCACCTCTATCGCCGTTTCTAATCTTTTGTTTCTAATTTGCCTATAATTCAAGTGAAAAGAGAAACCTTTGTTTATATAGTTTTAGTATTAATTTGTAACTGGGCATAGTCATGTTACCTTTGTCCTGCGTGATGGGATGTGTGCCGGCGAGTATGGCGTCGCGCGCCTGCACGTACAGCAGGTTGAGCTGCACGGGGTCGCGGGAGTCCACGTTGCGGTCCGAGTAGAACAGCTTGCGGCGCAACAGAAGCGTCTCCGTCGCCTCCACGCCTTGCTCACGTAACGTCTTTGATGGTTCCACCCAGTTCACTAAAGCAAAAGTTATAATTTAAAAAAAACGATTAAGGCTCTTATCACTTATTGCGTTCCGATTTAAACGCGCCTGTTGATGTTACGTGGCAGGTAATTCTATATATATATATTGTTAGTTTGAATCCACACCACCTCTACAAACCGCTACCATCAGCGGGAAAATCAAATAGGAACAAAATACCACGTCTTATAGCCAGTCCATTTATCGGAGTCAGTGGGCTAAATAGATATTTTTTTATATCAAAATGTGGCAAAAGAACAAGGGTGGAGGAATGAAAACTAGCAACGAAAACATATTACTTAAACATGTCTGATGTTATACCTTCATCATCAGTCCTAAGTTTCTTCCTCAGCTGCTCCATCTTAGCATCGCGCTCTTTCTCCTGATGTTTACGTTTCAATGTCAATGTTCCGTAGTTTGGTTTCTCGCATGGGTCCATCTCTTCCTTTTGTTCTTCGCGTACCTGAAAACATTACCAAGTTATATAAATAATACCTTTTTCGTATAAAGACTACTGGCAAGTAACAAGTTTTTTTATATCAAATTATGATTTAAATTACAATTAAAAATAATAAATTATTATAACTCACCAGTCCATATTCGTCGTAGTTAGTGATACCAATCTTCGTGCATATCACCACCATGAGATTTGCTACAATCTGACTGTCATCCACCAGTAATGTTTTTACAGTTCCTAAATACACAAAATTATTAATAATTAACAAATCATAGATACAGAAATGTATTGAACAAGAATCTTCCATACTAAGAATCCTTTAGAGGTTACTTAAGTAATCCCTTAGTGTAAATTTCTCAGACAATCTACGCAAAGAGACACACTCACCGTCTAACATCCTAACACGCAAGTTTCGTGTCTTCTTATTATATTCTAGCAGGTCTCCATTGCGGAGCATGTAGTAGTCAAGACTGCGCGACGCCTCTAGCCAAATGCCCTTCTTGTTGTCTTCTTCTGATGCCAAGAACAGACCGTATTCTTTCGCTGTGGGCAAATAATAACTTGACTTGAGTGCTGATATTTCGAATACAAGGTTTCAATAATCTTCTTTAGTTTCTTATAAATAAAGTTCTCGTGTCACAATTTTTATGAAATTTGTATATATATATTCAGTAGGTCTGGGAATCGGCTTGTGTTTATTTTTTAATCCCGCGCGGACGGAGTCGTGGGCGACAGCTAGTATTGTATAAAAGTTAGATATACTTACGATCACTGGCACTCGCCTCCAATATCTTCTCTCTGATGATGCGACACGCATCGTATACTGTTGTGGATGGATCGAACTGTATAGTTTTCACCACTTTGCCGCCCTCCAATGAGATTTTAAGTGATAAAGTTGCCATTTTGCTTAGGGAATGTGCCCTGAAACATTGAAATAACTATTAGGAAATTTCGATCTTCGCATAATAACAAAGTTACATCGTCATATTCCATGAAAAGAGTAGATTAGTGCTTGACCACAACGAATTAGCTTATGTTAAGGGGTAAAACAGCTAATGACACAATAATGGTGGGACCTGAATAGCAAAAACTTTCTAGATTTTGAACCAGAAAAGTAGTTTAATCTCAAAGTTGCAACAAGAAGACATACATTTAATATACATTTTCTGAGACTAAGCTATATCTACCTAATATAAAGAACTTATTATTCATTGGAAGCCAATGGTCACGTATGTGTAACAATATTTAGCTTATGTCATTCGACCGCCAACGTCTTGGTTGCGTCATGGTTATACAAGGCGATGGCTATAGCTTGTCATTAATATAAATAATTTTAATACAACAGAAAATACTATAAGAAGATTTTAGTTTTCAATAAACCATAAACTATTAAACGTACTATACCTTAAACTAACTTAGGTAACTTAAACTATGTTTTATTTGAGTGAGGATGAGGCGAATTGCTAGTATACTCTTAAAAAAAAGGTCTTGACAGACAGACAGACGGTCGAACAAAGTGATGCTATAAGGGTTCTCTTTATTTCCTTTCGAGGTACGGAACACTAATTAATAGCTTTTGAGTTTTTAATTTTGGTACGTATAAAAAGCAATTCGTGACCTTTGTGACGTAATATCAATCTACCGTAAACTTGTTAGTGTGAGAACAATTATCAGGTGTATGCAACATACTCAAGGTAAACATACCTGTGTATAGTAACGATGTTGTCAGGCCTCTCGAGGTCGAGGGAGTGGGCGCTGGCCCTACGCCGGTGAGGCCCCTCCTGGCTGAAGGAGCTGTGTCGTTGACGGCCTCTGAACGACTCCTGGATAATAAGAACATCATAAGGTAAATAGGCCGGTACATACCAGAGGGTATAACAAATGTCCATGGGTGTCAATGATCACCTCAGTGTTCCCGCTGATCGTTCTCCACTTGTTTTATAAAAAAAAAAACAGATATAGCAATATGTCTTATTACAAGTGCTGTGGCAGTGGAAACCCATGGGGAATGTCAACTTAATAGTTTTATAAGAGCGATATAAAGACGTAATAATCCGTAATTAATGCTTGTTATACAGTTATTAAATCAAACTAGAATCCATATAACTGCGAAAGCGTTTCACAAGCACATGCATTTTATTTACGTTTTAAATTCCGATGATCGTACTTACACTATATTTTATCGCAGCAACTAAGTTCCAACAAAAATTATTCTTAACAATGAACTTTAGTTTTTATTTTAGTTGCTTTCCGTAAAATCACTGAGTAAACTTTTTCACTTAATAAAAGACTTTCGAATTATGCACATTTAAAACTATATTTCATGTTCGCTTGTATGGTGGGTGTTTACACGGTAGCCAGTGACGAAATGAGACATAATCCATAATTGGTCATAATTATTTTTAATGACTCATTAATAACAATGACTAATATTGTAGTTATTATAATTTATTAGTCACAACAAAGTATTTTATTAAAAATACAATCACATTTAGAGTGCGAAATACTTTTGGAAGACAACAATGTCAATGTCAAAACAGATAAGTAAAAATATATTTAAACTAGCCATCGCTCGCGACTTCGCCCTCGCGGAATTAAATTATTAAAAAACTTAATTAGTAGCCTATGTGTTCTTACAGACTATCTTCTACGTGTATGTGAATTTCAACGAGAACCATGCAGTCGTTTTAGAGATAACTTCTAACAACCATCCATCTATCCATCCAATGATCTTTGCATTTATAATATCCGTATAGCAAGATTGTGTTTGCATTTACATACGTTGTAGTTTACACAACTCTCATTCCTACATATCTCATATTATAAAAATCAACAGCGTAATTCAATTTAAACATATTAAACAGAATAGATGCAATATTATCCGGTGACGGAACTAAATTAAATCGTAATCAATACTACATAGTATACGGGTTTAACGGTACAACATTGCGGAGTACACGGCGAGTGGCGAATTACTGGGAAATGGGATAAAAAGCAGTACGTCCAGCGGCAAGACGTGATACTTCACCGGAACGGGGCGAGCATTGCGGACCCAGGGAGACTTACAGGTGGTCTGCTGATCTCGATCTTTGATAAAGCTTCAATGTATCTTTGCTGTTTGTAAAATATTCTTCAATTCTAGAAGATCAGGGTTGGACGGAGTGATCCACGTTTTAAACTCACGCAAAAGACGCGCTAAACAAGTTGCGGAAATTTAAAAACTAATCTGAGTGAAATTTGATAGCCAAATGCAACGAAGCCTGCAAGAATGCATGTTCATCCCGGAAAAATTAACGGATCGCGTGATATAGATTTGTTTTTGTTTTTTTTTATGTTTTACCTTGAGCTTTAAAAAGCTCAAGTAAAAACTATCAATATGGTTTTTGTGTCGTCTACATAGCGCATTACGAGATGACATCACGATGCACTAATGTATTTCATAACCAAGGTCGACTACACCGCCGATGTTCCAAGAAAAAAATGTTTGTATAAACTTTGCAACCGAGACGAGTGTGCTCTCCTAGAACATTATCTAATAACGTAATTAAGTAGTAATGTATGGTCGGATCTTTTCGAGTTTAATTTTAGCGTTTGTAGAGAATAAGTCAATCTGTTATGATATAATATTCACAGTTAGCAGTGATAAATAACATCTAAACAACAATTAAATAAGTCAACCACGATAAAGACTTCGAAAATCTCACTTTTCTCTTGCAATTAGCTTTCCTAGTCCTTCAAAGGCTAATATTAGAACATGAGTGTGTTTCTAAGACTTGAGCGTATTTAAAGGGTACATTGCACTTCTATTTTGTAACAACACAAAAGTACTCTGGCAGTGGTAACTCAAGTACCGGAAACTATCATAACATTTCTGTGAATATTAAAATAAACAAGACATAAATAGTATTCAGTAGTTACAGAGCGGTGCTGGGTCAGCCGCCGCCAGTTGTCTTGGAGTGCTTGCTCCAGGCGGTCGCGAAGGCTGCGTCACGACCTCGCCTCCGCTTCAGATTCGCTCGACACGTTCGCCGTCTGCAATACAAATTTTATATAGTTTATTAACAAACACAGATTACACATTTTAACCAAAGTGGGGAATAATACGACGCACAGATTGTACGTATTTATTTACATAACTATATTTAACCATGGAGGTTATAACCATGGATAAGACAAAGCAATCAAAGACTACTACAGCAAACGGCTTTTCCACTTTTGCCTTGACAAATATCATAAATAGGGTTTAAATATTTGCACATTTTTTTCCAAGCCAGCGTTAGCTGTTACCAGTGTTAGTTGTCAGCGTTAACCATTAACCGTTCTAGATCTATATATATAATATATTATAAGTATAAACTAAACTTTTTACTGAATTGTATTAATAAAAATGTTCAAGTTAAAATACTTTTGTCTGCACGCAAACCTTGGCCTGGTAAAGATAATTCGATATCCATATAAAGAGAGCATTTAGGAAGGCCAACTATGTCCACTCACGTAGTTTGATATGTAACTGAAATGAACTATATTTAAAAAATTCAATAAAAATTTCCAAACAAAACAAGTCAACAAAACTTGCAAAGAAAATCATTAACCGTGGGTTTCTGAGATCAAAGTCCTCGTTTAAAATATATTGTTATCTCTGTGTTGTCAACGATACTGACAGGGATGACAATATGTTTTATACACCAACGATAAGTGGAAAAAATATTTCAGTAATTTAAGAAATGTATTCAACACATGTCTGTTCCTTCGTAAATAAAGTATTGATTTGATAAGATTATTATAGGAATATTCGTTAAATTCGACTATTACGATATTGCGTATAAATCTGGCGTGTAGGAGTTTACCTAATAGTTTATTTTTACCGTTCGGAGAACTGGAACAGAACCGCTTGTACGCCAACGGTTTGTGATGTATTATTGACGGTACATTATATTTATAGACGGTCACGAAAGGGCAAGTTACAGGAACTACGAAAATAGTCCTAAGAATATAAAAATATTGTACCCTATTTTTACACAAAAGGGTACAGAGTAAAAATATTGGCAACCAAATGTAGTACAACAGCCATTCCTAATTCGACGATTGCACATAATAGAACATAAAAGAAATAACTTTTCCTTTGAATCCTAACATTCTCATTATAAATTATATTTTGAATAAATTGACGTCTTAATTTAAATACCCGACTTATAATATAAAATTTATTAACATGTAAAATCAATCGCCCCTATTGTGTTGATGGCTGGTAAATGAGCAAGTCAACTCAATACAACTTTCCCAAAGAATTATTTAAAATGTTAAAGTAGGAACGTTCACCACAGAATTTGTTTTACCCTATGCTTTAACTACAGTGTTACAATTTAACCTTTTTGCATGCGTCTTGTTAAAGTTTTACACACAACACATAAATATAAAATTGTAACAAAGTTAAACAGAAAAATAACTATAAGTAAAATGAAAACCTTATAAGAATTTAGAATTGCCATCATCATTCAAAATAGTTAATAATAAAACTACGAGTGTAATAAATATTCACATGAAAAATAAAACATTTTCAATGATATAATCATAAAAGCTTTTGATGTAGAAAGCCATAAAACAATTTGAACCCTAACACCATAGACATAAGAACTGTCTAGAGGGTGAGAATACATAGTAGAATTCCTACGCGTTCATTAAAAGGGCCCATAGTCATAAGGGCGCGAGTTATTGCAGGGAGTTTTGCATAAAACGGATTGCAATGGCCCGCAGACGGGCCTTTTGGAATTTTAATACTGTGCAATCATCGAATGGGCAGCTGAGGAATGAGTCAGTGACGGCTGTTATACTGTCATAAAAAAAATATTGAACAGTACAAAATATGAGCTGTCGTAACTCATTTTTTCGGCCATCTTCATTGTTCTGGGTTAGAGGAGCTTTGTAGAAGCATTGAAATTACTTCATAATCGAGTACTTGTATACGATAACTTTTGGTGAATGAAAAATTGAATTGGCCACGGCATTTTAGCGTTGTGCACTATGAGCCGACGTTAAGACAAAACGACTTGTTTCTGGCAGGGCGTTAACTTATTTCTTTTTCGCGCGTTAAATAGACAACAGAGGTTGAACGAATGAAGAATTTAAAAAGATCAACGAAAAAGTCGTTGATCTTTTTAAATCTGCACTTGTTACTGCATTTGATTTGTTTAAAATTCTAAAAGTAAAACACCATTTCATTGTTTGTAGAAGACACTATTTAGCAATAAACCAATGAAATATTTAGCCCAACAATCAAAGGTACCTAGAACAAAGTACAACGAGCAACATCGCTTCCGTAAACTCCAAAGTACATTATTGAAGAAAACTTCATAAACGATGTTGCCCCCGATACCAACTTGCCCCCGTCAACAGAGAGCGCGAAGGCGTCCGGACTCATTTACTTCACGTTTCCACTTCGCTGAACATTGTGCTTTCATTTAAGTAACGCGACAATGGACACGTTACATGACATCTATGTAAATTAAAGTAAATTATATTATGAGAGGTAAAAGGGTTAGCAAGTTAAACCTTTAAAAAATTATCATGAAGATATTAAAAGACACTGATCATAAAGGGAGTGTTTGATTGAAAGCAAACACACTAATCCATTAACATCTAATCCACAAATTTAGTCGTCGACAATGAATAATAATCGCGAAAGTAATACAAAAATAAATACGATAAACGGTAAAAATAATGGATAAACCTTTCCATATCACAATAGAAAAGACAATGGTAACCCTAGACGCGGTTAATAGACTTGATAATTTAATAACAGCCCCTCGGGCCTGTCGGGCACCTCTCAGCGACGGCGAGACAATGGCGACAAAGGGTTGTGTGACAGGGCTGACAAAACGCAGCCTCCGACACATCACAGCGCGTGTCATCTCGACATACGTGTAGCAAAGTTAATAGCCTGTTATCGTATATAGTTACACTATTGTGTGATTTGTTGATATCCATTAGTGGATTATCTGCTAAAGGACAGTCTATTGTTTCCTTATTTCGTGAAGTCCTTGTGTGTAATACAATACAGCAAATAAGAAAGATTTCGGAGATCTTTTATGCTTGCTGAAATAATTGTTCACACAAATAACCAATTTCTGGCTTGTTTGGCTACTTCGGAATATACTGTTCCCCAATACAACTAAATTAAGCAGGCCAGAATTTTAGAAAAATTGAGTATTTGAAAATCCTTTTTGATGGCTCCTACGTACAAGGCCGGATCTGTCGCTTAAGCCTTTTTCCAATTATTATCATAATCGAACGATCGGTTCAAGTAACAGCGTCAGAAGAGCGTTGAAGTGGTGGAGGCATCGCTTCGGCAGTTGTACGTACTCCGTACTTGGCAACTGTTTATAATGAAAACTGCGCTCGCGCGTTAAAAAAGAAACATCGAGTTAAAAGGTAGCAGATACTTTCCCTTCCCATTAAGATATTCTAAGTTAAGGTTGAACATTCTATGAAAAATTAAAAAAATGACTTCAATATCAAACTTACCGTTGAAGTTGGGTTTGTTTCGTAAACATATTTTTTTTTAATTTAAGACGTATAAAATTATCAACGATAAAGAAAGAAACTCCGCAAAAATCAATCTCAAGAGCGACCATGAGCTCAGCTTCTTTAAGATAATGTGGGTCTTCCGCTTGTCCGATTAAGTCTGTTGCTAAGAGTGTGCGTAGGAGAAAATCTATAATCCTATGGGATCTGTACAAACAAGTAATACGCATGCGTTATCCCCTCCCCCGATATAATGGTGTCATTTGAGTTAGAGGAGGGGAAAGGGGAGGGGGATCGATAGACTCCGGCGCCGCCGTGTCTGGCGCCTGGGAGACTGGAACGTTTCTCTCAGCTTTTGTGGAGGTTTGGCTTGTCAAAGGTGTGGTCGGCGACGTAAATATGTAATCAATAATATTATGGATAAATTCATTATTTAGATTATATTTTTTTAATTAAGTTTTCTTTAGTAAATTGTTTTAATTACAACGACGATGATTTTGAATGTATTATTATAAATTAGTCTTCTAAATTCATCTTTCTCTATTGTAGAGATTTTGTCAAGATTACTTTATTCATAAGAATTTTTATGAAAGTTGTATAATATTTTGCTAGATTTTATGTTCAGTAATATGAAATACAAATTGGTTCCATTACAACAACGGTTTATTTAATTAAAAAAATGACAAGAAAACCATATATTTACGATAATGGGAATGAAATATATTGCATTTCGATTAAACAACTCGGCAATTTATCAAATATAGAAAAATTGCGACACAATCTTCGATGCGCGTGCAGCGCTTCCGGCATATCGGATATCCGGCTCGAGCCGGATATCGTCACGGCTGTCCGACACGGGATATCGGATAGTCAGTTTTTATAAATGAATTAGGGGGATGGAATGGACACTGAACGGACGTGGGGTGACTTACACGTCACCGATTCTCAACATAATGCAGATGCCGAATTATAGATTCTAATGATTTATATCGAATTCAATAAGACTCCGTAGACGGGAGCAAATGGAAAAGACATGATTGATGACCGGAATTAATATGTTTTGTGCAGATAACATACACTATTAGATTATCTCCTGCTGTATAAGTGAAAATACTTTCGCTACTGATGGATATCATTCTATCAAAAGAGGAGAAGTAAAAGCTAACGATGGAAATGTGCGTAAACCTGTCTGAAAATTAAGTTTGTATTTACGCCAATTAAAAATGTATAATAACTTAATTCTTTGAAGCCTGTTCTCATCACAAAAAAAGCCAAGAAGCGGACCGCTAAGAAACACAACGATAAAACAAACAAGTGAATTGTTTAGAATAAAGGGAGCATCAATGTACCCCGTAGGTTGCCAATCAATCAAACATGACCCCTCCGAGCAATCATCGCGGCAGGAGACCGAGCCGAGAACAAACACGTATTACTCCTAACTGCAACAACTATACTAATGAATGACTCGATGATTCCCCTAATACCCCTAATTTATGGAGACGTCTCTTATTCAATTAGAAATGATTAGGGCAAGTCGCAAATAAGCCAAATTGCAAACATTGATTATGGTGAATAGTCTTTTGATGCTTTGTATACGGGCCAATGATAATCAATGGCACAATAAGAAATAAATATTTTGTCATATGTAATTACATAAAGCATTCTCGAAATATAATTTTTGATTTGCGATATTATAAGTAGAAGTGTAAGTAGTATGTTTAAAGGATTAGACGTGTTTTCATTTCCAATAATCGTGTTAATTGTAATAAAATCAATTAAAGGTCTAAAAGTTTGTGTGAAGTTGTGATATTACTCCTTCGTCCAAATTGCAAACGCTTTTAGGTAAAAATAATTATAGAAGCGGCTTTATCCGGCCTTAAGGTTGTTTTTCACTTTTAAACTCCACTCGGGCGAAGTCGTGAGAATCATGTAGTTTATGTTAAATATGATTTGATAAAAAAATGTATTTATTATGGTGACCACGTGAGAAATCACTAAAAATACAGCAGAATCTGAATAAGCAAGAAACAACTATATGCGAGTCATTTTGCGGTCCCGGCAGACGACCTTTATAAGCGAGAAACTCGGGTAAGAGAGATTACTCTATACACGAGACAAATATCGCGGTTCCTTAGACTCCCGCTTATCCAGTTCCACTGTACTCATATAACGGACAAAAACATATTTATCACCTAACAGAGAGAATAATCGTTCGTTTCTTTTTTTTTTAAGGGGGCAAACGAGCAACTTATTTGATCCGACGCCCATGGACATCTGCAACGCCAGAGGAACCGCAGATGAGAGGTATACGCTCTTTTCTTGAATACCTCAAGTCGTAACTGTTTGGAAATACCGCTAAGGGCTGAGTATTCCACAACGCGGTTGTGCGAGGTGAAAAGTTACTCGAAAACCTCGCCGTTGAAGATGGAAACGAGAGACTGAGACCAAAAGCCCTGTATATAATACTATATATTTTTTCAAAGATAACGGTCGACGATATGTATTATTAAACAGAGATTTGGTCTCAGAAACCAACGATAAGAGAGACCATGGAAAGTCATGGTTACAAAAAACATCTTAAAGCATTTGCGACATCTCCATTCAATGTAAACTTACATTTTTGTTAATTTTAGAAATATTTTTTTTGTTTTATATTTGGAGATCTTGTTAATTTTGGATCTTTATATTAAAAAGTATATTATTATAATACATTAATTTCGTATTAACTTAGATAGAGAATATAATTTTGTACAAACAAAAACTAAACAACACAAATTAGCACGATTTGCAACGTAAAAAACCAAACTTAGAAATGAGAGAAAAATATTTATAGAAGACCTAAGAAGAAATCTACGATCAGTAAGAGAGAGAGTAGCCTGGAGAGCAAGAGTAAGCTTTCATCTAAATCTCAATGAAGATTAAGGAAAATATTAACTTCTGTGTGAAAAACTCTTCGCACTCAGCAAGTCGAGTTCGTTGACCTTAAAACATGTGATACGTGGGTATTAAATAAAGTGCAATAGATAATATTACATATAGTCTAAACAAATATGTAAATTAAGTACACACGTATTTTTAAACGTTTTATATGATTTAATGTGTAACATATCAATACCGTTAAACTTTACTCAGTATAAAAATAAATTACTTCAAAATACGCACACATTCGTAACCTAATTTAAAGAAACGGATAAAAATATAAAAATCAAGTAACCATAGCGTGAAGTAAGAATGAAAATGAAAACGCGGTTCGAATCGACTAATATCGGTCCACGCTCGACCTGAAAAGGGAAACTTCGTGAGCACGTGGCCGCTCGTAACCCGGCTTGCACTTACCTCGGGACGGAGTGCAGGCTCATCACGTCGTCTCGTTCCCACTTTTAAAAAATACTTATACAAGCCCTCCTTCTCGCTCTCTCACAACCTTTTAGCTCTTCTGGTATTAAGACGGTAATGGGAAATGGATTTACTATCAATCGAAAATACCAAGAAGGTTGCGATACAGAGGTTCGGACTCTTTAGAGATTTGTAAGAGAATTTGAGGTAAAAGAACAGAGTTACAAGTAGTTTTATGTTATGAGTTTATAAGAGCTGCCAGGGATGTGAGAGAGCGGGCCACCGCCTCCGCGGACGGTCCACGGAGGAATGTTCTTGGTGGCCGACGACGCGCCAGGATCTTGCGCTTGGCACTACCAAGCGTCTCCAACGTTGATGAGGGGTCGGTTCGCGCACGCGCGCCAACATCACCCCATCCCCTTCGCACTTGCGCGCGGCAAAAGGGAAGCGAGCGGGAACTTTAGGGATGATATTCGGAGGGTGAAAAGACGTCGAAAGATGGAAATGCATCTCGAACTCCGCTCGGATTTCCGGAGATCGTGATTTTGTTTATCGATTCGTATCGTTGCGAATACTTGGATATGGGTGGCCCTTTTTTGGGGCCGCTATGGGAGTTATTAATCCCTTCATAATGTCATAAAATGATTTAGGGTCAATAAAGTCACCCGTCCAATTTTCAATATAAATTACTATTAAAATTGATTACGCTATCTCCTCGGCACTCCCTAGACAGAAGCTTAGTCGTGAATCAATCTTTTAAGCTATTTAGACTTCTGGATTGGGCTAATTCCTAGATTTAAACTTCATACCAATAAAAATGATCTAAAGACTTCTAGGTCTTTATAAATATAAACCTAATCCTCACACAGCCCGGCAAAGAAATAATCCCAAAGTGTTTAAGTAAAAGCCACGTAAGCAATCCACTTTCACTGTTACCAAGTTTTATCACTAGATGGTGTTGATTTTTATCAAAATATTTCTGGTTGTAATTTTTTTAAATAATGTCATTTCTAAAAATACACAATTTATTCGATATTGGTGAATTACTTTGTATAATGACGTCAAACATTTCAGGACGTATGTAAGCTACATGACAGCTTCCGACTTGTGCCGGAAGTCTCGGCTCTTAACGAACGAATGGATTTCATTAGAAATTCAACGTCTACGTACAAGATTTTCACAAATGGTAGTTTTGTCCCAGTAATTTTATTATATCTCGTTTAATCCAAAACCTAAATATTTACACGAATGAGAAATCTCTCTACTAAACATTACTCTTTACAATACTAAGTGATCTACGATTTAAATTCAAAAACAGTAACGAATTATAATATTTTAAAGAAGTAAAACTAGTTTTTTTTTTAAAATATAAAACAGCGTTCCATATTGAGCCATGCCATCATGATGTGAACTTATCTCACTTAGACACTTGGGATCATTTAGTGCATTTGAGGTGAGGATTGAGTGCAATCACTTGTATCGATGGATACGTCAACAGTGAGGTCACAGGGGCGTCCCCTAGCGACCCCGTTCGACCCTATTCCACGCGGGACTCTCGCCTATGTTAATGTTTGTAATTGCACGGCAAACGTTATTGTATGATTTAATACATGGACGCATCCCTTCATAGCAACATCGTAGTGTTAAGATCAAAACATAATTACAAACTGTTAAAAAATGATTTAAAAAAATAATAATAATTTAACTTTAATAGTTCAAAAAGTTTTTTATCTAATTCAATCTAAGTACCCAACTTACACACGAAATAAAAAAAAACTAAGGACAGTAAGATAATTTTATTAATCGAGTTTTGAGTAATTATCTATATAAAATATATAGAAGAAAGTCGTGTTAGTTACACTATTTATAACTCAAGAACGGCTTTACCGATATGGCTGAAAATTGGTGAAGAGGTAGCTTAGAGCCAGGAGACGGACATACGATACTATTTATTCATTTTTTCGAATTTATGCTTTGAAGAGCTGCTTTTTATTTACCTTACTAATATTATAAATGAGAATGTTTAGATGGATGTCACGTAGATGGATGCATGGGTGGCCGGCCTACACTAATAAAGTTTTTTTATATATCCACGCGGACGGAGTCGCGGGCGGCAGCTAGTAGAGAATATACACTTGTATGCATTTGAATTACGTTTTACTTTACACAAGGTAAACATTCCCCAAAACAAAACATTTATATTAACATCATGCCAATCAAGTTAACTAAGATGAAACATTTATATTTATTTAATAACGACATGAGAACACTCGAAACACTTGAGCTGTTAATGTTACAGATACATCACAAGTGTTTGCAGATTTCTGTTGCGCTCACAATGCCGCTCGCAATCAATTGACTAAATTGAAACGACGTGTGGAGTGTTTCAACAAAATGCAATATTATTTATGGCTTTAACTAGCTGTTGCCCGCGACTCCGTCCCCACTAAATTAAGAAGAAAATTACTTAGTAGCCCTCAAGGCTAATCCTAATTTTAATTCTACATCTATTCTAAATTTTAATGACAATTATGCAACCGTTCTGAAGATACCTTCTAACATCCATCCATCCTTTTATCCATGTAAATATTCGCATTTATAATATTATAATAGTAAGGTATACGACTCCTTATAAATACCTCAGAGTATCGACAGTCCGGAGAGGAGTATAAAACAGAACTAGAAGATTATCCATCATTTTAAAAGTCTTTTTTTAACATTTTCTGAACATAATGAAGCCCACTTATCGCTATGTAACTGTATAACATACAATTATGAGATAAGTAAAGATTTTTTTATCATTATGACTTACCAGATAAAGTTCGTTTCGTTGAGTTTTTCGTTCGTTTTCCTTAAGTGATGTGTTAATATAAATATATAACTTAGTTAGGCACTTTGTGGGTGTATATATAAAAATAAGGCACTCTATTAGACGTGTATATCTGTCCCGTTCACATCGCAGCTCTCATACCTGTGAAAGAAAGAAAGACAATAAATTACAAATGAAGATTAACCATAATATTACCGTGTATTACATTAAACAAAGACAGGTGACAGTCTAAGTAACAATGTGCTTTTCATCATCATCATCATCGTTTATACGCCAATTAATAAGTAAAATATACACGTGAGTTAAGTAACATTCCACCCATAATCTACATAGATTGCATAAAAATATAAATTCTCTTTCCAAATTAAGTTCCAGCTGAACCCTGGCCGCCCTAAAACCTACAACGATAACTCAAACCTTCCAAAACTAGAAAGGCGACTGTAAATTTCAGCATATCAAAAACCCATAAAGCTTTCGTGAAAACTTATCGAGGTACAGTCGCGCACGTAATACATACACTTTAGAAATTGAACTTTATTAGCACGACAAAGTGTACAGTTTACAGTAAACTAAAAAAAGTTAGTAAGCCCGGCAAAATTGAAGCTCCAAGGAGTTCCTTTAAGTATCAAACGTCTGGATTCAAATCTACTGACACTGATACTCTTTAAAATCTGATAAAAACTACAGGAGAATGAACAAAAATACAAACATGATATGTCGTGTTATAAATTTTGCAAAAATGTTACAGTATTATGTTTGTGATTGTACATGTGTCGAGAAGGGCGCCAGTAGTCTCGGTGCGAAAGGGACGACTCGCGAAAGTTGTGCGTCTCCCTCGGGGCGCCCGCCGAGCCGGCGCCGTCTAGCGGCCGTCTGTCGCCACAATGGAGCCTATTACATAACCTGAAAGCTCTCGGCCTCAGCCTCCGGATTTCGCTAATATGAAAATTGGGGCATCATAAAACCGATGTAGGGCGAAACTTTTTTAATGACTGCTTATGTTGTAACAGCAGAATTACACTACACTCGTTATGTTGAATTGATTTCTATATAACACACTTGTTATTATATATGTTTTATCGAAGAGATATAAAAAAGCGATGTAATGTGTTCTTAATTATATTTATATTATAGGATTTTTAGAAGGCGTAAAACTACTGAATTATAAACATTTTTTGTTTGTTCAATATCATATCCTGCGGGAAACAGATCTAAAATGAATTTAAATATTTCAACCATCTGGGAAAACCATAAAATAACGATTATCTAACACGAGCACTGACTCATTTACACTTCCTGAAATGAGCAAATAATATGAAATAAAGAAAGCATTGAATTTGTAAAGTCGTAATTAAGATTTTCTAAAATCTCCTAATAAAAGAACTCCTTAGATTTTTTAAAATTACAGAACCAATTCAAAGCGAACAATAACATTACTATTAAAACTAAATTAATGTTTAATTTAAATAAATATTGTTCATGAGTATAGTAGAAAAAAATCTTTGTCCGGGCGCAGCTGATGTCAAACGGAAGCCGAGGCAACTGATAAGCCACACTGCGGTATCATTGTATACAAATGACGCGTGAGTTGATACGCATTTTATAATACACATGTTAGTACTCTAGGTATCGACTATTGATTCAGTAGTATAAATCACGCCCCTCACTCTCTTACAAAAAAAAACAAGTGTCAACACACGTGTCGCGACTCTCGCTATATTGCAGAAAATTATGTTAATAATTTCTTTGCCTAATTTCCTTTATATTCTTGGTTATTTGGTTTTTATTATAGCCGTAATCACCAGCTTCTTTTGTTTTGAATAAGCTTACTAAGATATTATGTTTCTTTGTTTACAAGATGTAGGTATTAACGGGATACAGAAATTTGTATCAAAGTTGAGAATAATCTTCTTCTTGAAGACTCAACAGCATATGGATTTCCACAAAAGTGTTCCGGGATCGGAAGATCTTCCAAGCAAAGGTCAACGAACCAATGTTTATTTACTTGATAAATATTACAATTCATAAACAAATACAAAATATATCGAGAAGGAATGTTATTATGACAACACAACGTCTATTAAGTAACACGTTATCTTTAATGTAAGCCTAGACGATGATTGTGCGCTCAGAAATAAACATGTAACAAGATAAATACGTCACGCGTGAACTCGTTTGATAAAATGAATTCCTTCTTGAACTTACGCATAAAGTTTTAATTTTAACCTATACTAGATATAGTATATAGAAATAAATAGCTATGTGTATATCAATTCTGAACCGGTGCAAAATTTCAACTCAGACTTGAACCGCTGAGTTGCGGTTCAGCAACTAAATTGGCAACTCACAAATCATAGATATGTGACAACGTACCGCGAGTAGTCTGGTGATTAGCAGGTCGCAACTCGAAATGCAAATCATAACTCTATGCAGGTACCAAATGAGGAAAGTTTTAAAAGATGTTTACATGAACGAATGTTTGAATCAACACTTGTATAAGAAATCAAGAATTTTAGGTATTGTTTAGAACGTACAACTTAGCAATGAATGTATTGCTTCTTACCAATTGTATGCAACAGTCAAGAAACTTGCATCGTGTGAATGGGTCTTTACACCTACATGCAAGTCTCTGTATTACACAGACTCGTATGTGGGTGTATTTACCGGTTGCTTCAAGTATTGAACGGAATTGCGTCGACGTATTCCATTCAATTGTTGAACGTTCTAGAAGCTACTGTATTTACTAAAACGTGATATAATATGAGTCAAAAAGTGTTCAAATTCGGTTCTAATGATTTAATCAAGTTCATTACGATTTATCGCAATCACGAATGTCTATGGAATACTGAAAATGAATATTACAAGAATCGTGATGCACGTAATATTGCACTAGCAGAATTTGCGCAGGAATTTGGAGTTGACGGATTTGGAACTAAGGAAATAACGGCCAAAATAAAAAGTTTAAGAACGCAGTATCACGCGGAAAGAAAAAAGATAATAGATTCAATGGACAACGGTCGCGATACAAGTGATGTTTACAAATCTAAACTCTCATGGTACAATTTAATGGATTCTTTTGTAATGAAAACTTCTGTAAACAGAACTACGCCATCGAATATGGTATGTATTTTAGGGAATTTTCTTTTACTACTTTTAGACATTATTGACGAATGGCGCGCTTTCATTACCAAGTCAAAATGATTAGTGAGGGGACATAAACGTCGACATTTTAAATAGGCTAGTGTTGTGTCTGTACACCGGCACAGTGTCGGATTTTCATCCTAGCAATACATATGAATAAGCTAACGCTTAACCCACCTAATGTTAAGTGTTGATGTGGTCGAAAGATGGTACGCACTAGCTTATTAAATGGCCAATGACCGTACCCTTAAGTTAGGCTCTTCGTCTATAAAACAGAAAAAAAAGTGGTTTGTCCTTTACACCAACGGCATCATCGCAGTTAGGAAAATTCTTTTTTTAAGGAGCCTCTCATGTGTTTGCCATACTCTCTAAATCTTGGTACCTTTAAAGTAGTGAAATTTATGTTTTCAGTACGACACATCACTGGTTTTTAAATTTGAAAATACAGAAAATTGTTCGAATTCAACTGTACAAGTCATCGACGAAATCCCAAAACCGGTGCCCATAAAAAAAAGAAAGAAATCACATGGTAAGAAAGAAAAGACCTCAATAACACTGGAACATATTGAAAAGAGTGCGAGATTAAATAAAGAAGACAATGAATTGGACAATTTTGGCAAATATGTTTCTTCTTCGTTACAAAGATTAAGTACCAAAAACATCATACACGCACAGGACGAAATACAGGCAATATTATCTAAATATAAACTGCAGGAATTAAATGAAAGTCAAAATTCTACTCCAACGCCAGAATCCTCGTATTCAAAACAAAGCAGTGAAGACGCATGGTGCGAATTGTAATTTTATATGTTTATTTCTTCACTAAATACTTTGCTATACCAAAAATATACGATTCTATACTTAAAACAGATATTTTTTTTTTGTGCGTACCTTTAAAAAAACTTCGAACACAGAGCAATTAGCCTGAAGTAAGCGCTTCACTATTTCAGCGATTTCAGGTGGCCGCTCGTTCGTTTGCCACCTTATGATATAAAACAGTACTATCTGACAAAATTATTATAACCTAAAAATTAGAAAAAGTACCTGTGTAAGCACCACTGACTATATACATACATTCCTAATAAGCAATATCCAGCAAGCGATAACTATATGAGATGAATAGTTATACAAAACCGAGCGACTAATTTAACCATGTCGCATATCAAAGAGTACTGAAGTAATCCAGTTAAACCAGTCAACGCGTCCCTTATCTTTGTCCCTAATTTTATGCAAATATTCTCGTAAATGATCTAATCAACTTGCGCCAGGGCTTGGAAAAAGTTGGACTTTTATAGGCATGACTTGCTTGATTGCATGTGTACTTACAAAAAACTGTCACTGAGTATTGAACCTATAATTTACTATGCATTAGTTAAATAAATTGTATTTGAAGATCCATTTTTTCATAAGTAATTGAACTGAGACATTATACAGCGAAAGTGAAGAGTATAATAAAAAAAAAATCATAATTCGTTTGGAAAAAATTTGAGTTGGACAGTCCAAAGTCTAAATTGGATATTACCAATGTATTGATTCTAATTACCGGACCTGTAAGTGTCACTGCATTAAAAATGAACATTGCTCGTTAATTTAAATATTGTACAGTATAATCACGAGGTGGCGCAAGGCAAACCATCAATCAAGAGTAGCATGGCGTAATATCACACAGGAAACCCGTCACAGATGCGATGCAGCTGCGATCACATCCAAAAACTGAATCAAACGGAAACGAAATATAAAAGAAACAAAACTGTAATCAATTTAGTAGAACACAGAATAAAAACGTGCAGGATTACGTATCATCCATCCCAATCCATCAAAACATAAGATTAAGATTTTTTAAGACAAGAAAGCGTAGACTAAAAAGTATTTATGATTTTCAGAAAGGTGGCGTTTATAATCTTTGCCAACTAAATTGCTTCTTTCTATCAAAGATTTTAGTATACTCTTCATTTTCTAATGAATGGGCAATAACCGAGTTATTTCATCAGACATCCGGCCGTGGGCGCGTGGCGACTGGCGCCCACGCCCACCAAAGGTTGGCAGGCCCTTATTTGAGTCAAGCGAAAGTTGTTCTCATGTAAATTGCTTGTAATTATAATAACATTTATATTTTTATCTCACTACAGTTTGATAACGTCATTACCGACACGTAGAGTATATTAAATAATGTGGGGCATAAGTTACATTTAATTGACGCTAAGTTTTATTTAAGATACCTTTAAGCTAAAACGAGAACAGCAGCAAAGTAACAAAGCACCTAATGAACTATTAGATCGTAGTTTGTTGATTTTCAATCAAACTGAGCGACCAGCGGACATAAACAAAATTGTATTTTTTGTATAATAAAATAAAAAAAAACAATAAACAAAAGGCATGCGACGGAATTAAAGAAAACTCTTGCATTAATTTAGTCATGTTAATTTTATTTGCGCAATATTATTTGTGTTTTACAAAATCATTCTCAGCAAAAATAAAACATAGTCACACAAGTTACGACGCTGTGGCAATGTACATTCAACAAAGTCTAATACGTGCAAGCAAGATTCAATTTTACTTTACCACTTCTAACCAATTGGAATCATATTACAAAATAAAGTAAATCTACAACAGTTTATTCATACTTAATATGGATTACAAATCTAATTTAATAATATTACTAAGAATTGATGTACGGCATTTTAACAAAGTTAATTGAAAATTTTCCTGTAGTACAAATTTTGCGATTAGCGACTAGATATCAGCTATACCCAAATTACAAATAAAGTTTGTCCCTTTTCCTTATTCGATTGTCACTAGCAGTAAGAGAAATAAAATACTTAGCCATTGTTAAACTTTCTCTGCCCCTAAACGTATAAGATGGATAAGAATAATTATATCGTCTTGTGATTACAATGAAAAGGTAACGCTAAAAAATAAAATACGAAACTTGAACTCTAACTTGCTGATTTTAATTTATGTAAACTGCCGATTGAAAAGCAAACCAATCGACGATCACGTATGCCATGACGTCATCACCAAACACACGCAGTGTCATCGTAAGATGACGTTTACATCATTCATAACAAGGAAAAATATTTGTATTTTATTAATTCATCCAAATAATATGTCATTCTATAATTGTAAACAATTCGCCATTCAACATTTTCCTTCAAATAATTCCGAGACCAAGATCCCTTTTTAAAGCATATGTTTTTTTTTCAAAGATAATGACAGGGATGACGATGTTTTATACATAGATTATGCAAGCTATGTTCTAACTTAATAAACTGAAAATGGAAGGAGAAACTAGAACTATTCAATAAATAAATATGTTTATAAATCCTGCAGACGTATTAAAGTATCAATGTCGTACACACCTTTGCTAAGCATCGACGATATCACATTTCGCACTCATAATGAAATAATAAACCGCTCTAACGACCATTTAAAAATGCAACGTCATTTCAGCACATTGCACTTGTGAAATATCAAAAATACTATTCACACGCTAAGTAAATTATGTCAGTATAAATATTATATTTTCGTATTTATCAGGGCAATGTGCGATAAGGCTGTGATCTGTCTTGTTACGGAAATATGACGCGGGCAGAGGCTTTATATCATTTCGGCACAAGATAATATTTGGGCGGCGTTGATTTGAGTATTTTGTACAAATTCAAAATCAAATATTAATACACAGTAAGTTAAATAGACACAATACTTGTCTTCCAAATCGTAAAATAAAAACCATAAAACTTAATGTCTCTAAGACCATATTTTCAGATTACCGTGGGTTTTCGAGACAGAAACTCTCCGTTTAAAACATATTACCTCTATTTTTGCCAAAGATAATGAAAAGGACGACGATATGATTAATACAGGGATTTTGGTCTCAGAAGCCAACGATTAATGGTGTTCATTTGTTAAAATCGCAGAGATTACTTACGAATTCGTATTTGATTTTTTTAGCAATGTAAAAAGTATATTTATATTGTAAATACTAAGATCGTAGTAAATCGATTACCCTGATTATTAGACTGTGAAGTATTTTGTTTACCCTCGACCTCGAACCTCGACCTGCGCTTACATTAGATAACGCAACAACTCTTAGAACAAATTCTTTCAAAAGAAGACGTACATGCGACGTTCGGACGACGTTTAAACAGGTGTGCACTGATAAGGCATTACACAAATACTATTTACTTACATGTTCAAGCAAATTCCAACTTATAATAATAATTGTCTGTAAACAACACAATAGTGCTGTCTTTGTCTCCACCTAACTTAAAGCCATACTCAGAGACGTGTCCCTTAGTGTAAAATTACTAAGGAAAATATATTATATACTCAGGGAAGTCTATACAACTATCAAAGTAATCTGAGTGAACCACTTAGTTTTTTCTTGTATGGGTACACCGAAATATCCAAATTCGTCTCATTTCGATAAATAATGGAATCGTAGTCTAAGATTTTTTTTAATTCATAATATGTAAAAAATTGCATAAAAACAATTGTAAAATTTCCTCTTAGCGTATAAAAACTTGCCACCACATAAACCTTGGAGCTGCTACATTTTGTGGGTCACGGTTGTTCTTAATGTCATCAACATACTGAGAATTCGAACACAAATCATGTTACGCACACACATGATATATTTTTAACCATTAGTAATTCGACCTTGCGAAGATCAACTTTGGTCAATAATATTTTTAATTATAAACAAAATACCAACGATAAAAAACAGTATCAAAAAATGTGTCAGTTTTTTAAGATATTAAAAAAAAATAAACTAACGTCACTGATTGCACAGTCACATGGTCCATAATTATAACAGAATGTATTACTTTTTTAAATTCATAGAAATATGCGTACATTCACCAACCAATCTGAAAATAGTGATTCAAATATACCATTAAGATGTATGAATCACGCGCAACACAACGCATGGATTTCCCATAAACTAGACGGTGATGTGGTAAATGTTTCGCTTGACGCATAACTGTAGTTAACTATTACACAATACACACCAAAAGAACAATTGCAATTGAGTTATTTTTAATATGTATCAAAACAAAAAACAATCGAAAAACATAACTTAGCAATTTAATTTTTAAAACCTATTAGAATCTAGCTTTTTTCATCACTAAAACGTGATTATTATTACTTACAATCTTCATTAGATACGTAATCGGCAACTGATTTTATTTAAAAAAAATATTTAATTAGCATTAATATTATAATTAACTTATTTAACGTAAAGCACAGAATTGATAACATAATAGTATTATAAAAACCTTAATCTTTGCAAAATGGCTTACACGCGTTTGAACTAAATTCTAACCTACATATTATATAAAATAATTCGGTATAGAGAAGATTATTAAAAAGCTGTTTTTATAACGCCAATATTCAAAAATAGATATTTCGTATAAAATTTATAGCAGTTTTTCGTTGTATACCAACATTATCATTGAGTCCACGTAGGCTGTACTAATTATATTGAAGTGCCGAAATAGTTAACGCGGTATCAGATCAGGCGATGACGTCAGTGTCCTTAACCTGTTACGTCAATTGCTATAATAATTAGAATTATATCACGCAGGTTGTTCTAATTTTAGACTACTAACTTATTTTATTATTGGACTTATTATCTTAGACTTATTTATCAACATCATATCGATTGATTGAAAGGCCAATAATTGTGCCGTTTACCCTATTGTGATACTCGTTTAACAAAAAGTGCTTATTGTCACTATATAAAAACATGGTAAAAGGAAGCAATCTAATGTCAGTCAACAAAAAATTGCTTCGTAACAGATTTGAAAGAAAATCGTTCGATTTCAAGTGTTACCGATTTTGTGTAGATTTTAAGAGTCAGACGAAAGAATTACTACTGTTGTTATGGACTGTGAATTAATCAATAATTTTATTTTAACAAGTTAAGAGCCAAAACCTGTGTAATTAACAACAACAATTGTTTTTATACGATAGCTCATTTAAAACTATAGATTGTTTTCTGTTACTTAACAAAATTTCGCAACTCAGCCAATGGTGTTGAAATCGTTCATCATACAAACTATAGCTAATTAGCAATATTTAGACTGTACAGCAGTCGTGCCGCGGCCTGGCCGCCTGCCAGAGCGATGAACTCATTGTTTTACACGAAATCGGGTTACGAGGCTGCAGGGAAGGCGTTTGACGGCTTTTCATCGTTTATGAATAAAAAATGTCTTCCATTTTTACACACAAGCGATTTTTTAACATGTACTTCCTTTATTGTTTTACGATAATTGACCGTCGATTATGTAAGAGAAAATCGAATGGCATTTTTAAGTAATAACTGGTGAAACACTTATGACTTTCGTTTATTATCACAATATCATTCATAATGAATATTAAAAAAAAAACTTTGCCTTGGCATAGGCCTACAGGAAGCGATGATTATGCCACATTCTTGTACCTCCGATACTGTACTAATTAACATTTTGTTTCTACTTTCGTTATTGGAAGATGGTAGTCGCCAGAGTTAGTTGTAGAGATTTTCTGCATCGCCACGAATACGGCGTCTTTATATTAGTTGCCAGAGTTAAGTAAATTACGTCAATTATAATCGAGAATCCTTCAGCTTACTGAAAATGCCCGTGGCACTGTCGTAATTATTTATCGTGGGTTTCAGAGACCAAAATCTCGTTTTAGAACATATTGTTATCTCTCAGGGATAACGTTAAATTTTATACAGAGATTTTAGTTTCCGAAACCAACGGATAGTGATATTAATTACGAAACATTAGAAGACTCAATCAATAGTTTAATTTAATTTATTTATCGCATCATTATCTTGATAGAGACAAGGACATTGTAACGCCTATAAACAGAACAGGTACATGTGACCAAGTAGGACCTCTCGCAAGTCGTACAGCGGACCATAAATAGATGCGTTATAAGGCGGAAGACACGCCTCGATGTTACGTTGACTGTTTCCATTTCAGTTACATTCTGTGCGATACTGGGGCCAAATGAACCACGCATGCGTGTTTACCCACGCTTCTGTTACGTTTTGTCGCATTTTGGTATAACACATTCAGTGCCGTTGCGATTTACATGTGAACACGCGAGTCGATGGCAGTCAATGTGTTTGTTTCATTACGAAAATTAAATTATTATTTTTTATTTTTATTCAATAAAATGTTATAAAGTAATGTTTACAGATTTTATAAATTGTAGTAAATATTATCATGACACATAAAGCAACTACTTTCTGAGAAATAGTTCATGACCCAGTTAACAGACCAAGCTCATTCATTTTTAGCCGCCTTCATTAAACAAATATATAAATCATTCGAATGAACTTTATTGTATGAATGGAACAATTCTTTGAAGAAAATAATATTTCTTAGACGGTTGAAGGCAAACAATGCAGCAACAATGTTAAAGGTTCAAAAAGTCATATTACAAGTGAACAAGCAGCATCTGTGTGTATAACTATAATAAGAATAACAACAGGATAAAATCTCTAAAAGAAGTTTATTAAATGATGTTTATAAATCTGATTGCAATTTCCTAATTGTGACATAATAAAACAAAACTTCCACTTCTTCATTCCGCCAAAGAAAAAAAATACTACAACATTGATTGTTTACTCATTATTTCAATGTGTTGACAAAAATTGTGTGCTATTAATTATAAGAAAATTTTTATAACAAATTATTCGTACTTGTGAATTATATACATTACAAACCTTATTTCACACACTACTTTTTACAATTGCAATTCATCTAAGATATGGATGATGAACCTTTTCATAGTAACATGCCATTTACATAAGAAAAGTTTAATGACCTAATAGAGATACCACCTAATAATTTTGGTGCCGTCTGTAGGATGAGATACTTTTTTCCTAGAGCATAATGAATTGTTCCATAGGTCCCCCCCACCATCCAAGACCTAAAGTATGCATTTAAACTGAATCCTATAGATAGAAGTTCGATTTTGTAATTATTTTACATTTAGTATTTGTCATTGCTGCATTGCTTGTCAATAACACAGTAACTGTAATAACAAATAACGTAAGCTATATTTTTGGCCTTTCTATCTATATAACCTAAAAAAATTGACCAATTTCAATAAAAATGTGAAAAAAGAAAACAAAAAAAAACTTAAACATTTTGTTATTATGCATACATAGTATAACCTTGAAACAAATCTATAACATAGTATCTTTTGTCTTTTCATTCTTCATATTCATAATGTAAGTAACATTGCCAGTCAGAATGCAGATTGATAATATGCAGACAATAGGATAATTGGATTTGCAAGTGAATGAACTCCTGTTATAGTCAGACAATGTATGATCCAATTAATATTGTTACTCTTAAACAACTACTAGATATTGACGTAAAATTTAAAAATACAGGTGAAATAAACAAATGAAATAATCTATACTTATTGTAACCTAGTACTAAGTACATATACTGCAGTTAAAAAAAAGATTAAGCAACCACAAATTTGGTGTAACATCAACGACCTCAGCATAATTCGATGGCCATCATAAGATATGGTTATTTATTCACATTTTGTTCAATGTTCTTTGATACTATTTTCAATTTATGATGTCATACTGTTATTCACTTCGTGTCACAATTTAATGACCTATAATCAGCTAAATGATTAAAAGAGCAACATTAATATCATTTTAATCACTACAATAAATCAAGTAAATTAGAGTAATTTTAGTATTCTTTGATCAACCTAAATTTTAAAATGTCAACAAAGGTTAAAATAAATGAATTAATATTATGAATTAAAATGTAAGCATACTGATTCTTGTTTAGTATGGTATATATTCTGGTAATAATGTAGCGAGATAAATTTAAAAATAGGTTGCAATAAGCTTAGATCGATATATGAATTTATACTAAATCCTGAAAGCTCCTGCTACAAGATGGCGGGAATGCAACGCGACAAAATCAGGGAGGGTAGTAGCAGTAGGAAACGCACTATTATCGATACGACCTAAATTTGGCTGGGTAATACGTCTCTCAAACAGATGTATGGTTTCCGAATTCTTATGAGTTTTTAGGTGTTTACTAGTGGTTGCAACTGATAGACAGACTACAGGATACACTAAATTTTGAATACTTACAAATTTTATGTTCCTTTAGCGCTTGAAACATCACAAAACACTAATTTTTTCACAAGCACTTACACGCCCCTATAGTATGTAACAACATCACGAGTACACTGCGCCATCTGGTGGACAGCCAATCAGGTCATTTCATTCCAACACCAAGTGCAGCTAACTTCAAACCTTCACAAATTAAATTTGCTTGTTTTAATTATTTTAAAACAAGATACACTTAAAACGGCAATCATCTGTTCATAATTCTTATTCTATATTTTTCAACAAATGTTTCTATGTGACTATATTAGCCTAGTTGGCAGAGATTAACGCCAAGTATTGATTTTTCCGTACAGCTGTGAATCACGCCTTCACGAAACGTAATCGACAGGAGTTTCGCGCAAAGTTGTATCACCAAGCTTGACTCATCGATATTTTTGTTCTTTGCTGTTTAATTCAGCGTTATTTTAAAACATAGAACGTGCGAGACAATCGTGTTAAAAGTATGAATCTTATTAAATGCAATATTTCTCTACGGTTCAGTGATTTTTAAATGAGGGATTTAAAAAAGTAAAATAATTTCAGTATATCTAAGTAGACTTCAATGTATTATGCAGAACGAGAAGAAATCTTTTTGCAGCGCTTAAGAATAACAGAGAACTGTTAGTTATTCAAAATTCCCGGGACTAGGTTTTAAGGAATAATGAAGTTAGTTAGGCTAATGTACATACTAACTCTGTTTAAGTTATTTATTTTAAGCATAATTTAGGTCAAGGAACAATTTTACTTTACTTCTTTTCTACACTAGATGGCGCTGTATTTATTTTACGTTAAAATTGCAACATTTTTTTATGATTACAGCAAATAGCTTTGTTCTGATAGGCAGACGAAATTAACTTGCACAATGATAATTTACCAAAGTAATTCTCTCAGTTTTCGGGTAAGAACTATTTTAAAGTCTATCCATTCTATATCATTGAAGGAATATTCTACTCTAAAACATAACTTTTTATATAATTTAGTTTTGTAGTGAAATGTCTATGTTGTCATTTGTCACCCTTACGCATTAGTTGAGCCGTCGGAGGGGTAGACAGAGTTATGAATATTTTTATTGTTATGCGAGGGGAGTAAAGTCTATTGCACAATAACTTTCATTGAGCCGCTAAATGTACGGAGACGTTTACAGGTACAGTCAAGATGAAAACATTATGTACAGCATTTTATTTCATTCATTTCATTTTCCGACGCTGCTGAACCGTCTCTGGTAGGTGACGATCGATCGGTTTCCCTGATTGCTCGTGATTTCAACACAAAACATATTGTCATCTTTCTCAGTCTTGTAAAAATAATAGGCTATGGATCACATTTGTGTAAATTAGCTCTGAATCCGTTCAAAAGTTCAGATCAATACTTCAATGGTTCAGTGATCTGCTTCACACGTATGAGTGGATCTGCAGGTCATCAATTTTAGTTAAGATACCAGTATTCGGACTAAAAGATCAGTTAGGATTGACTCTGAACTTTTTTTGTTTCAGGATATTGTAAAATCACAAAGCTTTTCTAGTTAATAATACAAAGATGTTAATAATTTCCTCCGCGACTGTACATGCTTAGTTTTATTAACGTTGTAGATGGTAATGTCTTAACATTTTAATTATAATGTATCCGACATAATGATGATGGTAAAACCTAGATGATGATCATTGAATACTTGAATACAATACTAGAATGAAGAATAAACTGTATTCAAAGAAAAGTGGATTAGCAATTATACTGTAAAGTTGGGATGGATCGTTGTTTGTTAGAAGATACCTTCAAAACAGCTCAACGGATCACGATGATATTTGGCGGACAGATAGACCATACTTTGGAAGAAAACATAGGCTGGCTGGCGATTAATGGCGGCTAATTAATAAATAATTAAAAAATAATAATCACAGTCCTCTAAGAGATTGTTCTCACTCTAACAGATTTTTCTCTTACAAAAGTTTCTAGCTTATGGAGATCGTACTTTTGAACCGGATAATGACTCGCTTATAGAGGTTTCTCGCTCATCCAGGTTCCACTATATTTCTTTCTTGATGTGATTCTTGTCACTCACTGCTATCCGATTTTAAAATAAAGGAGTATAGAGAATTTTTATTCAAAAAAATTACCATTTCTTAAGTGTTGTCTAGCCTCTGTATCCGTTGATGTTTACAGTCGATATGTTCTTGTATGTGAACGACGGGGCGCCGGCGCCGGCGGAGTAAATCACGCGTCACTAGCACATGAATCACAACATCCCCTACACGCTAAGATATCTAGATGCAATAAAAGATAGCGGCCCTCCCCGCTATCACACATTTGTTACTATTTCTTTAGATACGTGACCGATTGTTTTGTTACAGACTAACTTACACACAGATCTTATACGCATATATAACAGTGGCGTGGGTTCGGAGAACAACATCATAGTTTAAAACCAACTCATTGTTAGAAAAAATATCGAAAAGGTACGCAATATTGCTATCAGATATTAATAAATTATTTACGATTGATTAAGTACATATAAAAAGATGGCAATATGCATTAACAAGTCTAATGTGTAAGTGTATTATTCATAATTTTGATTTGTTAATTACTACTGCTAATAACGGTACACATATAAAGTTGACCATGAACGTTACTGCAAAGCCTCTGTTGTATAGCTACTCTGTGCATAAAACGTTTTAGGACTCGTGTACACGCGTCAATATAATCAATGCGCGCGGTTCAAATGTAGACTAAAATTGTATGAATGATTTTTCCTTAGGGTTGGGTACGATCCGATATCGACACAAGTTTTTGTACTCCAGCGTAATAAAGATAAATATCTCAATGGCCTGTTTTATTCTGCAATTCGGCAAGATTGAGTCGATTTCCCGCTGCGCGATAGATAAATAAGAACGAACTTAGAACGAAACTAAAAACACAATATTGGGGAGGCCTGAGATATCTTACTTATATTATAAAATATATGTGAAAGTTTAGATGGAGGTATGGATGGATGGATGTTTGTTTGAAGGTATCTCAAAAACGCCTCAATTGATCTCGATGAAATTTGGCATAGATGTAGAACAAATAATCTCGAAAAACACATAGGCTACTATTTTTTTTTTAATTCTAGGCAGACGGAGTCGCGGGCTACAGGCTAGTTGAATCATATGTGATCAATATTGCTTAATCTAGAAACGGTGAAGTTTGTAATTAAATTGAAATGTTACCTTTATATATCTATACTATTTTACGAATACCCACCAAGTAGATCTTTGCATTTTTTATGAAACTGGCATAAAATTTGGCGAGTTTTTATAAAAAAAAATGGTGTCATTGTGTGCGCAAATACCTTTTATCTTGGACGTTTTGTTTAAATAAGAAGTTGATGCGAAACATAACCTAAAATTTGTGACCGCTGGTGTTTGAAATTAAGAAATTATTGAAATAATTTGTTAATCGTGTAAGAATTTAAACTTATGATAAATGTGGAACAAAGTAAGTACCAAACATATTTATTTTTAGTTGTCTTTTTCATATTAATTTTACATTGGAATGCTTTTTCGTTTAATTTAACCTATACGTTATTGTACACTTTGAGCATGAACTTATTTACCATGGAGATCAAATAGTAACTGTTGTTAATCGTTTAAAGACACTTTTTCTTAGTAAACAATAAACAAATGCTCAAGTTACGAGGATAAGGGAAATAGCCGTTCTTTGTTTAGGACCACTGCTATACTGTTTCTGGAAGAGAAAATATATTCCGTAATAAACTTATTTGTACTACAAAAAATTAAGTGAATCAATGTGAAGTTGATTTGTATCATGTGTAGTGCAAAAGTTAATTTTTTATTGTTACTAATGTGTGCGATTTCTTTCATATAATTCTTTTTCGATGTCGATGATTACAGTTGCTTTCGCTGCAATTAAACTCTTTTAATATAATTTATGGAACTTTTGTTTATGGTCTAACTATCTTTTTAATTTACAGGAATTGGCGATAAAATAACGGGTGAGTAAACATTTTAATGCATAATCTTTATGTCTACGAACGGGAAATAGTTTTATCTAGCAATTTAGATCTTTGTTATGTATCCCCCTTGATCAAAACGGCACTTAAGGAATCAATAAGTTGTCAATATTTGCCATGTTTTGTAGAGTGATGGAAAATCTATAATCTGTGGCTTTAAATACGAAAATATTCCTAATAAAACTGCAAATAGTTTAACACTGTTTAACGTAATTGATTAATACCGACGCTCTGGAGCATTTATAGCCTTACCTTTAAGTACTCGCAAGTTGCAATATTATTTTAATTGTTTTGTTTTAAGGTTTTCTTATTAATAGTAATAAAAATTCAATTTATCCATATAATGGTGTATGTGTAATTCTTAAAATCCATTTGGCGTGATACGATACATTGGTAAACACGAGTAGTTTGAGATCGCAATCCTTTGGCTTCATCGCCAGTATCCCGACGAGCTTATCCCCCGAGTACAGCGGTCCGAATTCGTGAATAAAGCAGTCTTCGTAGTCCGACATATCAACACAGATCAGACTATCGTCAATCTTGACGCCGTAGCTCTCGAAACATTTGTGACGTTTTGCGATCTTCACTTCAAACTTATCGAAATTATTGGTCAAATAAACCTGTTTACTCATCGTCGATACAGTCTTCCAAACATTAGCTTCGATCTCTTTTGCTTCATTGCTATCGATTGTAGAAGATTTCGCGATCGCCGGATAAGAATCTAGGTTCAATTTAGCAACTGCTATATCGTTTTTGCCAGATGGATCACTAGCGTTATACTTTTCATTGATTCTCCAGAAGAGAATTGGATATGTATGCGTGTAATTTTTAATATAATCTTGTAGAAGTAAGATTCTGTGTGTTGCGCCCGGTTTTCTACAGTGAGCGGATGTTACAACCCATTTGACCAGTATGACGCTTCCGAAACACGCGAACGACCAGTTGTCCGATGAGTTTCTGGTTATAGCAGCGACGTAGGGAAATCTTTCAGCTATAGGCAGTGTATAATTATCATTAAGAGCGAACACACCAATAGACTTGGCCACTTCGTAGACTCCTTCGTTCCCGGGCATGTATTCTCTCTTTCTGTCCTCCACTGTGATGTCTGTAGCAAACTTCACCATCACGCACACAGCCATTATAG